TGTCCTGGGCACGGGCTTCTGAATGCTCAGTGTAACGGTGCTGTTCTGGTGGCACCTCCGCACTGTGAGCTGAGCTCTCGTCCCACTGTTCCCCTTCCAGTGGAGGAGCGACTGAGACCAGTGTACCTGCAGGTGTGGCTGCTTCGGTGCGTGCAGATAGAGCTGCTGTCATCCACAAGGTGCTGTGAGCTGGTGTGTATATGGCGTAGTGCATGAGCCACATAAACTGAATGCTTTCTCATCAACACAAACACTGTGTTTTTCAGCCAGAGGGTGGTGAGGCACTGGCACAGGTTGCCCAAGGAGGCTGTGGATGCCCCATCCCTGCAGGCATTCAAGGCCAGGCTGGATGTGGCTCTGGGCAGCCTGGGCTGCTGGTTGGTGACCTGCAAGGGGTTGGAACCAGATTATCTTTGAGGTCCTTTTCAACCCAAGCCATTCTAGGATTTGGACACGTGTCAGACTGTAACGCATTACATAGTGTGTGCAGGAGAAAAGTAAGTCCACAGAGATGTATGCAACTCAGTTTCAGAAGAAAATGCACATGGTCAAAGTAAAGTATCGTGTGACTTAGAGCAGTCCAGTTTGCCTCTGCAGTGCTGAAGATAAACAGTTTCACGTTTGTACAGGCTTCTGTAGTGAGAGAAGTGGCAGCTCTTGCCTAGTTGGAGGACTGGCTCGTGGTATGGTTTTAAGGCCTCTGAAATTGCACGCACTTTGCTGCCAGGGGCTGTCAGCACTTTGTAACAGCTGAGTCAGCGATCCCTGTTTAAATGACGTTCAAGTACTGCCTCCTAAGGGTCACTCTGGAGCTTCTCTGCTCAGTGTAGAGAGGCGTTCTCTGTTCAGGGGTCCCTCAGAGCTGCCGTAGCTTGAGGCCTTCTCTGCATTAAAATCAAGCAGGGGTTACAGGTGCATCTTCCTCTGCAGATGAACCTGCAGGTTGACTACCTGGACCTGCTAGAAATGTTCAAAGTTGTGTTAGAAGTTGCCTGTCCTTTAAATTAATCCTATGATTGCGGATCAGACTATATAGAAATACTGTGTGTGTCGGTGGGTTTGCTTGTTTTTTCCTTTGACTCTCTTCTGCCTCCACCCTCAGTGCTGTGTTTTTGCTGTTAACAGGCTGAGAGCAGACCGTGTGCTATCTGAATTCCCTGGCGTGCCGTGTGGGAGGTCGAATGAGTGAGCTTCCCTCTGTCAGCTGTTGTGTAGCACACAAGAGATTCATATGTCGTTTTGTTTCCCTCTTTGTTTCTGTATCAATTAGAAAACACCAGGAGGAAAACCTGTGCTTCCAAGACCCCTGCAGAAAAGGGCATAACATCTGAAAGATTTGGCATTGACTGCTCTTCAGGTTTTAAGGGCTCTGCTCAGATGTGCCGTGCTGGGTGCTGGTATGAGAGAAAGCAGCTGGGCCATCCGCAGCTCTGCTCATGTGCGTTCTTCTGTTTTTTGATGTAGGAAAAGAGGACTGAGGTACACAGCAGTAAGAAAGACAGTATGATGGGTTCAGAAGGCTTTTCCCCAGGAAGTTCAGAGGAAGATCCAAGCAGTGACGTTACGGCTACCTCTAGCAAACATTACCTGTGTGGTTACTGTGCGGCCTTCACCAACATAGCAGTTACTTTTCCCATCCAGAAGGTCCTCTTTCGACAGCAGCTGTATGGTCTGAAAACAAAGGATGCGATACATCAGCTGCAGAAGGATGGAATTCGAAATCTCTACCGTGGCATCCTCCCTCCCTTAATGCAAAAGACGACCACGCTGGCTCTCATGTTTGGCTTGTATGAGGATTTCTCCTCCTTGCTCCACAGCCACACGACTGCTCCCGAGCTCCTGACACGCAGCATGGCAGCAGTGCTTGCAGGGACCACAGAAGCTGTTCTTACTCCTTTTGAGCGAGTGCAGACTTTGCTTCAGGACTACAAACACCACGATAAGTTCACAAACACGTACCAGGCTTTCAAGGTACTGAAAGTCTATGGGATGAGAGAGTACTACCGGGGATTGGTGCCTATTCTGCTCCGCAATGGGCCCAGTAATGTACTCTTCTTTGGCCTCAGAGGACCTATTAAACAATGTCTGCCTGAAGCAACTTCTTACAGCACTCATTTGGTCAATGACTTCATTTGTGGCGGGCTGTTGGGTGCCATGCTGGGATTCTTGTTCTTCCCAATGAATGTTGTAAAAGCTCGCATGCAAGCTCAGATCGGGGGTGAATTTCAGTCCTTCTCGACAGTTTTTGTGAAGATCTGGCTGGAGCGTGACAGGAAATTGATCAATCTTTTCAGGGGAGCCCATCTGAATTACCATCGTTCGGTCCTATCCTGGGGCATAATCAATGCAACTTATGAGTTCTTGCTAAAGCTGTTATGAGAACACTTATTTTCTTCGTCCCTTCAATTCATTTGGTTTTTGCCATATTTGATGACGCTTGATCCCTGGGAGCAGTGCCTGCATAGTGTGAAGGGCATTCAGTCTTGGCCTTCACTGCACATGGGGTGAACGGTGGTACATCCAAACCTTGGTGCAATTACAAGTAGCTTCTTAAATTATTTATTTGCTGGCAGGTGGATTTACCCTTAATGAAACTACGAGACGAACAGATGAAACCAAAACCAAAAAGCCCACGAACTCATCACTCAGCCCAGCGGCTGGCTCAGTATCACTCCCAGAAGTTCCTAACACTCCATGACCGAGCGCGCTCCACTGTGTGCCCTGTAGAACACGGAAGTCAGGGGGAGGCTGATGGAAATTCATTCCCTTATGTGATGAACTTCAGAATGCTGACGTGCGTTTACGTGCTCAGACACATGTAGGCTCCTCAGTGCTCACCGTTGCTCGTGGCCAAATGGACACCGACCCCAGAGGAGGATGACCGAGTTCCCGAGTGCTGTGCTTAAACAAAGCCTGTGCCAAGGCTCCTGCTGGCCGCTTGGGTGCTCGGCTTCAAGCAGAACGTTTCGTTCGGCAGCATAAAAGCAGGTACTGAATGTTGCCTTCGGTGTGCCCTGACTCACATTTGTGTGCACGTATGTACGCACACGGTTTAACGTGAAAAGGGAAAGTGGAAGGAGAGAAACAGCAGAGATGAGAAAGCTTTAAAGTGTCCTTCCTTGTTACAATCCTTCTACTTGTAAATGCGGAGCTTGTTCTGCTTTTTTTTTTTTTTTTTACTACTTCTTTTTCTATTCTACAGCTGTGAGGCCAGAAAGAAGACGTCTCTTTTTGTAGTGCTTATTATAAGAGTTCATTTTCCTGTATTTTCCTGTTGTGAAGGTAGTTCTTGGGCAGCTCTTTTCTACAGAGGCATCTTGTCTTTCGCAGATGGCTGCGTTTCACCAGAGCTGTGCCATAACTGATCACAACGAGACTTCTTACAGGAGAGCCGGAGCTCTGCCTCCTTGACGTGTGCGTTTAACAGTTCTGTAAGACAGAGCTGCACTGTGGCGCCATCAGGATTAAGTTCCTGGTAATACCCACTGGGGGAAGTCTGTGATTGTAGTACCAGGAGGCAGATGGAGATGACCTTTGGAATGATGCAGCACTTGGGGAAGCACTGATGGACTTCTGTGGGCAAGTGCAGATAAAGATGTACAGAAATGTGTGTTCTGCGTCCTACAGATGTGAGCGGGGGGAGATGTGAGGCTGTAGGCCTTGGAGAAAGGAGCGGGAGGGGGATAGGCATAGCCAGACCAGGAGAGGGGTCTTAATGAAGAACTTGGTTGTCCTGGGAACTTTATGTCATTATGTTGTATTTAAAAACAGACAAAAAAAAAATTAAAACAAAACAACCTCACCACCTATTCTGAAAGATGGGGATAAACTTTTACCAAGTTACTCTTTTCGTAAGCTTTGTAGTGATGGTTATTTTTTGTTTGCTAAACTGTCACAAAATACTTGCTCTAATCAGTGTGTCATGATTATGGTCCTAATGAGGTCCCTCGCTTCACAGCCCAAAAGGGCCCAGCACAAATGAGCATTGCTGTATCTGAATGTTGTGGTTATTTGCGTTGAAATAAAACGCTTATTGGATGTTTGTTACTGTCAGAATCTGATTTTTACCAGTGTTACGGTTGTGACTTTATTTAATCTCTTCTTGATGGAATAACGGAAGTGGATTTTTTTCCCCATGGAAGACGTAATTTGAAGAGCTTACAGTTTGAAATAAGCTGTCTCGAATGGATGGTGTTAATTACAGTTGGGAAAATCTCAGTCGCAATTCTTATCTGTTGCTGTCTGGCTGTGCAGCGTTGTTCCAGCACAGTCTCTGTTTTGCTTTGTAACTACAGTTGGTTTTGCAGCACGGTGACAGTGATTGTCTGTTTAACAAATCACAGATCTCCTACTTGTTAAAGAACAGACTCGTATGGAGTAAAGACAGAGAGCTTTGTCACAGCAAAGGCTACAACACACAAGGCGATGTGGGAAACTGCACTGAGCAGGCTGCATTGCTATCCTGGCAGACAGCTCAGAGCCAGCTGTGCTGCTTCAGCTACTTGAGGCTGGGTTCAAGGCTGTTTTCCAGTATTATCAAACTGATCACAACCAGGAGTAACCACACCATGCTGAGATTCCAGAGTGGAAATGGTCTGTGACTTAAAGGCTGCTGTCTGGAGGCCAGGAGAGCTCATCTCCAAACAGCACCAGCTGTCAGCGCTTCCACGTGCAGCTAGTTAGGGCAGCTGGAACCAGGTGGTCTCTTAAGGTCCTTTCCAACCCAGACTGCTCCAAATCTAAACTGCTTGGGCTGCGAGGTCCCATCCAACTCAAGCCATTCTGTGTAATTACCATCTGCAATTACTGCAGCTGCCCCTAAGCCTGGCTTTGTAGGCCCTTGGAAGGACACCATGCTACACCTGTGCTCAAGCTCGGCCAACACCAGAGGGAAACATGTAGATGCGGATGTCACTCCAGGTGTGGCTCTTTCCCCCTCAGTTCCAGTGAACGGGCAAGAAGCAGTGAGTGTTACAGAACACAGCTCAGTGTCAGACAAATACATTAAAATAGATTTTAATTCGCTGAGTTATTAAATGTTTAATTTATTACGCAAGCAAGGAAAACGTTCCACAAATAGTAAGTTACTGTACGGCTGTAAGTACAATATATTCAGAGCAGTTCTGATACTTTTATATTGTATGAAAAGGCTACACTTCATACTACGAAATCTCAGGTATTTCAAAATATTTACATGCACAATTTGTTCTAGTATTAAAAACTTTACACTTAAATGAAGATACCTAGTGCATAAGAAAATGCACCATTGACCGAGATCAGGAAATTAGAAGTTTCTTTCTCTTGCAGGACAAAAATATTAGGGTTCTCAACCTTCTTTTACTCCTACTTCTTAGAATCTTGTAAACTAGAATTCTTAAAAGCTTTCAAGAGGGCAAGTTACGGAGCAGCAGGTCCACACTTTGCAGTGCTGCGACCTGCTGCACGCCAGTGTCGCCCAAATTAACAACAAAAAAAAAAAACAAACACAGAAAAAACCTGACGTTTACATTCCAATTCTGGTGGTAGGCAAATTGTCCCTACCAAGTCTCAAAGAGTGCAAACAAATGAGTGTCAGTATCACTGTGCTTTATCCCCAGTAATTCTGATGAAGGTTTTGTTTTTCCCTGAACTACCCCTGTTGGACCGATGATGCCCAGTGGATGCAGATACACTGAAATTCACACACAGGAAAAGTACACAGACATGGGTGTCATTTCACAGTCCCATTAAAGGTTTCTTCCTCCTTTCCTACAAACGCGTAACAGACCTACAACAATGCAAAGACTAACCTCCAATGGAACAGGTGGGAAATGCATTTACTCCTACAACAGCCACTGGACTATTACAAAAGGAGAGCTACCTTCGGGCACTGGTTTGGTTCCATACGCACTGCTGAGAGCTGACAGTGCCACGCAGAGACCTCGACGACGCAGCCTATCCGCTTCTGCTGACCAGCTGTGCCGTGAACGAGGGAATTTCTGTACTGTGGAAATCAATAAATACGAAACCATGCATTTAGAAAACATATCTGCATGCTTTACAATCAAGGAGCTCCATCCTGCTCAGAAAAACTGCAAAATCTATCACGCGCTGTAACGCTTGAGAGGTCAAAAGTAAACACGTTTGAAGCCACTGCTGTACTTGGCTCTTAGTGCAGACTTTAATACATCAAATAAAACAATTTCCTATGCTTGGGACAGGCAGGTTGATGGAGCTGGGACACTGAATTTTAAGGGTGCAAGGTTAGGGATTCGTCTTTTTCAGCACAGTAACATTTTTGGCTAATTAGAGTGAATCTAAAAGCTCAGCAACACATTTCTTCGCAAGGCAATGATTCAGAGAGGCAAAACCTGAATACCACTGCTTCCACCGAGCTGAAACAGCAACCCATCCCAGTCATAAATCATTCACTGGTGTTTCTACAAGTGCTTTCTGAAACCCACGGGTGAAATATGTTAGATTTGACTGAAAACTTCCGAGTACCGCAGAAAAGGAGTAGTCAAATGACTGCAATCTCCCAGTTCCAGCTAAAGCTCACCACAGAGAAATGGGAAGAGTAGTTATGTCAGAGCTCAGCTGCACACACAAACAGCATCCTTCTGGAGAACCGTGCTCCTCACACACAGCTCCAAGAGCATTCTAAAGTGACAACTGTCTGAAACCAAGGCTGATGCTCTGCCCTGGAAAATAAGGCATGTCCTCATCTGCTACTTCATCAGTGCTCTTGAGTTCAAGGCAGCAACGAGAGAGCAGCCCAGAAGGTCTGAAAATGTTCTACTGCTCTGCTGTCTGAGAAGGCCACGGGCTGCTGCACATCAGGTTAAGGGCACTCTGCTCCTCCAGCTGAGATGATAATTTGATGGGAGTTCTGTCAATACATTAAGCCATTTGAAGGCAGCCCTTCAGCAGCCAGCCGCTGGAGGTACTGAAAGCCCAGTGCAGGAGGTAACTAACAGTCCTCAGATGATCAAACACCCAGTGCTGAAGAGTTTTTTTCCTGCTGTTTTTTTTTTTGTTTTTAAATAAAAATTCATCAAAAACTTAAAACTGTAGCGGAGATCCTTAAGGATCACCAGGGCCCAGCACCATGCCGTGGGCAGGGCTCCTTCCCACAGCAGCAGCCTGTGCCAGCCCATGGGGACACCCCCCAACCCTAACCCCCACCCCCACCTGTCTTGGAGCCTGTGATGAACCTAAGGGTTAAACCTTGGCATTCCTACTTCAGTTGCCGCTGTTCTCCCTTAAATCACATTTCAGATTTTATAATTACCCCACTTAAATCCACACAGATCTTTAGACAGGAATGGTTCTAATCTGTTCCAGTGACTACACTTGTGAAGCAATACTTGTCTGGTTGTACTACAGACACTCCCAAAAGGAACTCCTGCTGTAACATGAGGTGCAGAGCAGTCAGAAGACCTAATGGCCCTAAGCAAGAATTCTGTGCTGCTCATTCTCCAACACAGGATGAAGGTTTATGTAATTGATGTGGAAAGCTTCCCACAAAAGAAATCCTACTGGCTGAGGACTAAAAGTTGCCAATTAATCTTACACACTGTAAGAAACATTCCCTAAGGTTCATGTGCAGCGGATGCAGCTGAAGAGGTTTACCTATTCAGCTCCTGTTGCTCTGCTCCAGGCATTTCTGACTCAATCTGAGGAAAAAATGCAGCTGTGTCTCAATCTGTAGAACCATACAATCCTTATGTTTGGAAAAGACCAAGAAGATCCCAAGCCCAGCCCAGCCCTGCCGTGCCCACTGACTTTGTTCCTTAGTGCCACAGCTCCTGCACGTTCCCAGGGATGGTGACCCCAACACCTCCCTGGGCCACTGCCCATTCCAACACCCGGCCACTCTTCTGGAGAACTTGTTTTTCCTTACACCCAACCCGAACCTCCCCTGGTGCATCTTGGGGCTGTCACCTAATTGTACTGCTGTTACCTGGAAGCCTCTTCCTTCTACTAATAATTCAAGGAAAAGCAGTCTACAAAGATTTTTTTAGTACAGCAAAACATTACAGAAAGCTGACCAACTTTCTAGCCAACCACAAAAAAAATATACAAATTAATGCAAAACAATTTCTTTCTGTGTTTTTGTGCCAACTAATTTAGCACACACAAAGCCTGCTCAATATCTAACAATTACTGTATGGCAGCTTCAGCAAGGGAGAGTCCTCTGGAACAGAGAGGTGCTGCACCAGGGAAGCCTGGGTGAGTGGTGGCTGAGCTCCTACCTGCATCCCACCTATGTTTCTTCCAGACAGCCCACTTCAAGTCATGCTGAAGAAAATTACCAGCAAGTACTACAGTACAAAACCAAACAGAACGACGACTTGATGGCACAGGGTCAGAAGCAGCTAAGGTCTGCCTATAAGGCCGAAAACACAACGCATGGAGCCTGACTTGCAGATGCAGTATGAGAATGCATACAGTGCTGCACCAGGAACTCACACCATTATCACTGAGACCACGCGAACTATGATCTCGTCCGGGTTTACGGGATTTCAAAAGAGCACACTTCAACTAAGCTGAAGTTAGAACACAAACACGTGAAGGTCCCGCTGACGTACAGTGCGCCTAGAACTTTGGCTGATACAAAGAAACGCGTCCGCTAAGGCACCCCGAGGCAATCTGACAGTGGGTTGGAGAAAACTTTGTTGTCAGTACCACATCATTGTGAGAATACAGGGAACGGATTTCTTTCAAGGGACTGGCTTCTTTGGGCAAGCAGTCAACGAGCTCGCTGCAGTGCGCGTCAAAGCCCAACAGGCGGATCCCGAAGCCGTGCGGGGACGAGATCATCCGGCCGTCGGGACTGAAGCAGAGCTCTTTGATGTAACCCCGGCCCACGTTGGCCTCTTCGATGCAGTGAGTCAAGCGCAGGGAGCAGCGAGGCGAGACGGGGCGCACGGGGGCGCCTTCCTGGAATTCATAGACACAAGTCCACTGAAGGGAGAGAGAGAAAGGAAAGACTGTGAAGCACTGCGGACGCGTTCACCTGGCTGCACGCTAAGCATCTGACAGAGCAGCCACCAACGCTCTTGCTTATCTGCTCCTCCACAAGCACTTACTGCGAGCACCGCCAGGCTGTCTGGCATCTCCTTATCACAGAACCATGGAGTGCTTTGGGTTGGAAGGACCTTGAAGATCTCCCAGTCCCAACCCCCTGCTGCAGGCAGGACACCTCCCTCCAGACCAGTTGCTCACAGCCCATCCAGCCCGGCTCTGAATGCCTCAGGGAGGGGGCATCCACAGCATCACTGGGCAACCTGTGCCAGTTCTTCCCTTTGAACAATTTATGTAAAGCAGATCAAAACTTCTTCTGCTTTACTGTCTAAATACAATCTTTTTCACCTGGAAAGAACAAAGCCTGCTCCTCCAGACAGGATTTTGCTCTGATGTAGTAGAACATTCAAATGAAATCTATAGAAAAGCAGAATTCAGCCTCACACAATTTAGAATGGCCTTTTGACATCCTATGCCCCTGACTTCAAAAGGAGGAAAGTCTTGAAACAAGACAAAAATAGCATTAGAAGAAATGCTATTACCAGACCTATATCCAGCTTGTTGCCCGTGAGGCAATGGGGCATTTTAGTGCTTAATCTAATTATTTAATTGCAAATCAAATGCAAAATCCACTCCATTTACCAGTTAAATTCACACTGTGTCTGAATCTGAGTTCTCCACAGCAAGGCAGAAGATACAATCTTTGTTTTGTTCACTGCCCTCTCTTGAAGTAAAGACAAAGGGAACAATGCAAATTAACATTAACAGAGTGAGGCAGACACCAGGACTCCAGCATGGTTTAGCTGGGTCGGTCAATGGCACTTTCAGAGAATTCTACACTGCACAGTGGTTTGATGGTGAGTTTACAGAACCAGCACTGAAATGTCAAACAAGTCTCCTATGCTTCCACTCGGCCCTCTACACGTCTGTAGGCTGCCAGTACAAAGTGAGGCTTCTTTCCAAAGCAAGATAAATAAATAAACAAATAACTCAGTATCAGACTGACTGAACTTCTTAAGCACGTGTGTAACAGGTATTTAAAGAATTATCTGTAATTTTGAAAAAGTATACATGCAAAATCTGCATCTTAGCAGGCTAGACAGGAGATCTGCACAACTGTCAGAATAACAATACCGAAATAAGCTTCAGAGAAATAGATGATAACGAGATGACTGTCCAGTGGAATCTCAAGCACTGGGAGACCACAATGAGGTGTGCAATTTAATTCCTCCATGCAGACAAAAATGGCACCCAGCGGCATTCATCAATGCTTGCTGAAGGTTTATGGGGAGCAGAAAGTGGACGTGGGCACAGAGAGGCACTGGGTGGTGCGTTTCAGCAGTGCCAACAGTGGGTCACCTCTGCCCGTGCAGATGTGTGCAACTGAGGCATGCAGGCTCTTGCACTGCTGGCAAAAACACACAGCTGATCACGGTAAGTCTGATGAAGAATAGTGTTCTGCAGCTGAGAGTTTGCTCTATGGAATTGTGCTTTCAGTAGCTGCTGTGGCTCCCATGAAACTTAATAGGGGGGATTACTTTTGGGGCACCCAACGTTCAGCCAGCTACTTCAGGGACATAAAGTCTCTGATCAATGTTAAAAACATTTTGCAGTCTCCATGATGCAGCCTCATGTGACTCTACTCAAAAAAGCAAGGACAGGTAGCAGTCCTCCAGCCAACCATGCCTCCTCTTATCTCGAATGCAGGCACTTGGTAGAAAAAAAAACTTCTTGGACTGTCCAGGAGGCCAAGGGTCCCTCATGCCTCCTCTCAGCATGCAGTCACCTGTCACTGACACTGTTTGCACTGCTTTGGAGGATCTCCTGCTCTGCTGCACAATATGCCCACACCACAGTTTTTAAGAGGAGTTGAGATCACTTTTTTAAAAATTACATTAAATATCACTGTTGTTAATAATGTTCAAACCTACAGTGTGGGAGTTTTAAGCAAATGCAGAAATATGCTCTGGAAGCTTTTCATAGCCACTAGAAAGCATCTGTCAGCACAGCAGATCTTTAACCAGGTGACATCGATGGATATGCATTTGAATAATTCAGAGGAGCCTCTCTGCTCTACTTAAACCATGCCCACCACTGTACAACTGTGTAGTCTTCTGTTTTTTCCAAGTTCGTTTCTCCTGTATTTGGGAGGTACATATTTTTAAGTCACATGCTTGAGAGGCCAAGAACTGTTTGAAAACATTTAGCCAAGCTGTACGCTATAAAAAGTATTCCATTAAAGCTTGGCAAAAGGAATGCTGCATAAGGGACACAGAGTCTTGTACAGGAACTCTTCAATCAGAAAAACATTTCATAATCCTGGTTTAAAAACTATTAATTTCTGCCTACCATCAAACTTCTTTATTCAAACGCAAGTTTATGCCACAGTCAGGTTTTCCCATACAGTTGTACAGCTGATACAGCTTACTCACAAGTATCTGCTCAAAACCTTTTGTTTTACCTCCTGGTCATCTGTATTACTTGAGCACCGAAGAAGGGTAGCCCACCCTTTCGGATGTAGCTGTAGGGATGTAATGCAGTTGCCTCGGTCTCTCTCACCAGGAACTTCTGGTGTTAAGACCTCCAAACTATTTCTAGGTGATCCACCTAGGAAGGGAAGTCAACTGTGAGTCCAAAGGAACTCTGCACGTTCATAGAATCACAGAATCACCAAGGTTGGAAAAGACCCCCAAGATCACCCAGTCCAACCATCCACCCGTCAACAAACATTTTCCACTAAACCACGTCCCTCAACACAAAATCCAAACCAACACCTCCAGGGTCTGTGACTCCACCGCCTCCCCGGGCAGCCCGTTCAGTGCCTACACACTGTTTCACCCCTCACTTCACCCTGCTGTTGACATGAGGTGAAGGCCATGTCAGCCTCGTCTGACTGCTGGCAAAGACTGCAGCTTTATGAAATGCAAATGAAGTTAATACCAGTGTGCTCAGCCCCGATTCCTACTAGGGTCCTTTTCTGAAATTTACCTTCCAGGGTGTGTGTTAAATCATCCCATGCTGTGAACTGAAGTTAGGGCTAACTTCCACACAGATACATCATTTAAAGAAAATCCTGAATGCCCTCTTTTCTAAGAACTACCCGTTCCCAAACTTGTACAGTGGCCTCTTCGAATTCTGCTAAGCCTGCTCAGCTGTGCGTATCTTGCCTCCTCTCCCCTGCCTGCCTTAAAGAGATTTTCACAGGTAACTCCTGCCTTGGGGTCCAGATAAGCTCCCTTCTTTCATGTATGTTGGAACAACTCACAGCCACAAGTAACTGAAGCTTACTATCGCTGTTATTTTACATTAGCAAGTGATTCACTAAAGATTTCTGAACACTTGTGAATTTGCCAAGTTGGTGCTGAGCTTTGTTCATAGTTCTGAATTTAGGCAGGGCAGGCTTTGTAACAAAACTTCTTAAACCATTCTGTCAACGTTTAGGATTAATGTGCCTGTTCTTTTCCTATGCTATTGACTTCTCATGGAGAAACAGCACATACATATCACCATCACTAAGGGAAACAAAAAGCAAAACACAACTATGTTCTGCTCTGTTGGTTTTTCCCCCCTGAAGGTCACTCACACGAGTGGTGCTAGGAAAAAAACATAACAACAATAACAAAAACAACAAGAAAACAAAACAACCAAGGAAATGGCAGCACACTTGCATAACAAAAATAATGTACTAATACGTAATAAAATCTCACTGCTGCTTTCAGCTTTCTTGGAGGAAAAGTGATTACAACTCTCGATTTCGGCATGCAGTGATACTTCACTGGTTTATCAGAGCTCATATAACACCATTAAGGGCTACAAAGAAAAACAGCATTTTCCTGCTATACTGTTCTGCTCGTTTTTATGTTTTCTTACCTTCTCGCTGTGAGGACCGTGACATCTGCTTCTCAGATAGTGGACTCGAATCATTCTGGTGACATGGGGAACCAACGGCTCGAGGACTGGACAGACTCGAGGATGTTATATCTGCACACAGCATCAGCCACGTGAACACAGAAGCTAAGAACAGGCTGTGTACTACACACGTCCTTCACTTAGCTCTCCCTTGCCATGCTAAGAACAGGCATCTTGTTAACAGAACACCTTTCAAAGCTCTGCTTACAGTCACCAAGCACCATTTGGTTGCGCTTTACACAAATTAAATGCCAGCATATCATACTACGGGGAGCAAGGGGGAAGCTGCACTCATTGCTTCTGATGTGCTCCTACTACTAGGAGATGGGGCATGAACTTTCCTCCCAGCTTCTCAGACACCCCACACAGTGTAGTTTGTCTCTATTCTGCCATTACTGTCACACAACAGCAGGAAGCAGTGAAGTCTTAGAGCACAGGACTCTATCAGGTCCGCTGATTGACAACAAGGGCACCACCAATGCAAGCCTGAGGTGTCAAAATTCCAGACTATGTCCTGTAGTGCTGAAGTCTTGATACCAAAAATTGCCTCGCCTTGAGCATCACTTGTTTTGCAAATATACACACAGGATTACTGCTACTATTATATTCCCTTCCTTTTCTGTCTTAGTACATTGCCTCTATCTCAATTCACAAGCATTACCTTTTTTTTTTTTTAATATTATTCTCTACCCCAAAGCACTGGGGGTGAGCAAGTGACTGCGCAGTATTTAGCTGCCTGCCAAGTGAAACCACAGGAATTCTATCACAGAAGCTGTTACTGACATTTCAACAAGTACTCACCTGAACTTGATGCAGTCCTCCTAGCTCTTAAAATAGGGTAGCTGCCAACCTCTAGAGTTTTGTTTAGATCAAGGTCATGCAAAATCAGAAGATAGCCAGAGGATGTGGAGATCAGCATTTTGGAACAGTCTGGTGTCAACCTCATTCGCATAAGAAAACGGGTGTGAAAAAACTTCTTGTGGGGACATCCATCTTCAGTGCACCTGCACAGGGGAGGGAAAAGAAAATACAACCAAGAAATAGTCGGACTGTGACTCAAGTCCCTAACAATGCCTGCAGGAGCCCAGGACATGCCAAGCACCTTGGTCAATCCTAAAACTCTTCTTGGATGTTGTCTTTACCCTACTTAGCTCAGACTCATCTCAGGGGTGAGGAAATCCTTTCCAGAAAGGAAAAATCTACATTCTGGAGTGTCAGAAAACTCTTTTTTATTTTCTGGACTATATATCAAGGCAGTGCAAAGCTTTGGCAAGGGTTAGAAATGTAACAGCACAAGTACGCCCACACACCTGTTTGTGTCCCAGATGATCACATTTCCATCAAATCCTGATGTCACCAGCAGTCTTGTATTGGTGTCATACTCAATGTTCTTTACCCAGCTGGTGTGACCGTGTAAAGTGCACACTTTTGTGTTCAGCTTCCTCAGATCCCAAAGTGCTATTGTAGTGTCATCAGAACAAGTTGCAAAAAGCCGATTATCTAGAAACCTGAAAATGGGAGAGAAATACTGTGGCTAATTTCAGTATGAGTCATCCAGGACTTAAGCCAACACAGGAAAAACAATAGAGGCTGCAGAAAAGAATCAACACGTAGCAGAAGCATATTTGCCAACAAAAAGAAAAAAAATAGTTAAAAAACAGCACTGTGCTGCTACACATCTGGACATCTCCAGTAACAAGCCAGTCAACCTGCAGTACAGCAGCAGCCTCTTTTCTTCCCCTCCCTCCCCCTTATTACAGATCGTTTAAAGATTGCACAACCATCAGTAGGACAAAGGCACACAAAGAAACCCTGTGGCAACTAGAGCACTTACCCACCTGCACAGTACTCACCTGTACTTGAACTCAGAAAGTCTTTATAAAGCACAAATGTCCTAAGAGCAGCCCAGCTCTGAGGTCCCTGGGAAGACGTTCAAAGTGACTGATCTGGCGGCCCCTTATGCCTTTCACCTCCCCACTATTTACCAGATCTCCTTGCTACTGAGAAGGAGCAACACCAGAAAACACACAGATGACAGGTGCGCTTCAGACCACACAAAATCCTATCAGTTTGTAAGAAATCAAGACCCGTTCTTGACTCTCTTCATCTCCATCCACACACCTACCCTCACTCTTCCCCTAGCGCTCTTCACAACTTCTTCCTTCTCCCCACCACGCACTTCAGTTTCTTTTGCTGAGACCACATTTTTGAAACAAATGGCACTTTTTGTTATTCCCACTGGAAGTCCCTCACTGGCCACTGGTTTTGCTGAAACACTTTGAGCCCACCAGCTTTAGACAAACCTCCAAACTCCTCCTCACTTTGGAAGGCTTGTCTTCACATGGCACCCGACTGAACCAGTCATGTCTGAAATGTCTCGTAAGATCCTGACTTCACAACAGCAGGCAGAACACAGCCTTCACCACAGGGCTTGTGACAGAAGCTGGTTGTCAGGTGCCCATTTTCAAAAGTGGCCTCTTGAGCTGCATGGAGAACTGGGGTCGCCATCCCAGCATGCTGGTGAACAGTCGGAAACAAGCCCAATACCCTGCTTTTCTACTCATTTCTTGTCTGGGTCAGATGATCTCCAGACACCCTTTCCAACTTATCTGTGACATGACTACAACTCTGTGCAGACTGCTGAGACCAACCACACTCCTGCCCTGAACACACTGGAACACTGGCCTTAATGTCTTACACGGGGTGTTTAACAGTTCTTTTCTGAGAGAACTAATGGAGTTAACTGTCCTACGTTTGGCTTCTTCTCCTAATCCTGTGGTTTACACTACATACAGTACTGCTGTGTTGGATATTATGAGATTAAAACCTAAACACAGCCATTATTTGCTTACTTCCCAAGAACCTTACCCAAATTTCAGTCCTTCTTTGTACATCTTTTGCTTGAGAGCTAATCTGGCTTCACAAAGCCTTAGGACACTGCTCACTGCCAGCTGCAGAGCCTGGGGACTGAGCCGTGTAAGCCTGCTGCATCCCATAACTTTACCTACCACCTGCAGCAGTCTCAACAGTCTCCATAGACAAAGAAGAGGCGTTTGCTCCTATTTTCCTTTACCCTCAGTACAGCTCGTGTATTTGAATCCAAAGACATGCAATTGTGCTTCTCAAATAAAAAAAGCAGGTATCAAAAATACTGTTTTTGGAAATAACTGCAGACGTGACACAAGCTACCCAAACTTACTGACTCCTTCACTGCAGATGTGCATTAGAGAATAAATTCTGACGTGCAATACAAATGCAACATTCTGTTAAGATGCTGCAAGAATCAGAGGTGTAGTGCTTAGTATTTCACAAGATATTTGCAAAGTACTGATGCACCAAAGAGTAGTTCTGCTCTACTCCCTGATGCAGGAATGAACGTGTATCCCACGTGCAGTGCTCCAAGCACACCAAACATTCTGCATTTCGTGGGTCTGGAGATCTTGCTCACCTCAAATATAACAGGCTTGTCACAATGTCATGTAAGAAGATGAGAAAGTGGGAATGAACTTGGGTCATGCTAGCAGGATTAATGCATTTACCAGATTAAGGTCTTAATATGATTAGGTGGCATTTCTTTATCCTGACCATCCTGACTCCAGATAAAATTGAATGCAAGCTATCATTCCAAACTGAAATAGCACATAAGGCTGCCTTCGTACCTGACATAAAGACTACCACACAAAAAGGTAGAAGAACAAAAATCAGCACTAATCATTACTAGGAAACAAACTGAGTCAGAAGCTTACTGAAGACAAAGCAGGTCTATATTCAAAAACACCAAGTGAAGAAAAAGCTTCATTTTGAAAGAATATTTAGACAGAAGTTACTTGGCTGAGAAAATCAGCAGGTAAAATTATTTGGCTCGCATTACAGAAATCAAAGTTTATCAGATAGGCAGCCCTGCAGCCACCAAGGTGAGAGCAGGACAGCAGGGTGCGTTCCAGAAGTTCCTGCAGCCACAGAGGATTGCACAGAGCAGATCCTGAGCTGGAACTGCAGCTCATAGAGCAGAGCCTGTGGTCCAGCAGAGACCTGGGGGAGCTGCTGCCTGCAGCAGAACTGTGCCAGAGCAGCTCTCCACCTCTGAGAGATGGAGCTATGTACTGGAGAAGCATTTGGAGAGCTGTAGCTCCTGGGAAGCCCCTGCAGGATTGGTTTGGGAAGGACAGCAAAGGACTAGGGGCAGAGTGACCACAGAGAAGCAGCACAGATGAAGCTGACCACAGCCATGTTCCTCTCTCCCTTGCCCTGCTTGAGGAGCAGACAGAAGACAACGGATACAGGGGGAAGGTGATTTTAGTTTGCCTTTAGTTCTCATTGCTCTAGTTTGTTATTAACTGGCAATAAATGTATCCTTTCCGTGATGAACCCGTTTTGTCCATGACAATAATTGGCGAGCAACCTCCCCTTCCTTATCTCAGCACACAAACTCTTCATCTTATTTCTCCCCTTGTTCTACTGTTGAGGTGGAGTGAAAGCAGCTGGCGACCCAGCAGTGTTAAACCACAATAGCAACATGCCTGTTCAACGCCAAGTAGCTATAAGGAAAGGAAAAAACACAAAAAACAAACAAAAGCCAGTAGTTTTTAAGAAGAGAGTGAAACGAACTACATCTCTTCTACTGTACAAATCTACCATTTCCTTTGGTCTCGAATGCTGCATGCAGCCTTGTTTCATACACCACAAATAGGTTTCAGAAGAAACGGAAAAGACATGGGGAGTTACAACTAGTTTGGAATGAAAAAGTAGACAGATTGTTTCAATTGATGAAGTCTTAACAGAAGGTGCATATGATTCAGTCACATAAAACCAACTGCCAGAGAGAAAGTTATATAGAGATTAATGGTCCACTGTCTCTGGTGTTTAAAGAACAAAAACAAGCATAAAACAGAGGGCCTCAGTCTACCAAGTCTTCAAAACCTTCTTAGGTATGACCAGAAGAACAGTTCTGGAATTCTGACATGAAAAGGGCAACAACTACACTTAAATCAGCTCAAAAATTGACCAAATCCACATGCAAAACACGTCTACTTTATGCGATTATACGCACATCCTCAGCACAGGGAAGGGTGATGGAAGACATCAGTACATACTTCCCTGTTCTGACATATGTATGAAGGCATCTGGCACAGGGTGCCCCTTCATATATTTACAGGGCTGGAATGGGCTGTCCAGAAAGTGGTGGAGACCCTAAGCCTAGAGGTGCTTCAGATGTGCGGACCTGGCACTAAGAGGCAGGTTAGTGCGGGGCTCAGCAGCCAGGCTGACAGCTGGACCTGATGATCCCAAAGGTTTTCTTCCAGGCTGCACAACTCAACAATTATAAGGAAAGTTACAATGGATGTCCGTAGTGCTGCACCAACCAAGTTCTACAGAACAAAGCGAGCTTGCTTGTAGCTAAGCTTATGATAAGAAATGCAGACATCCAGGAAAACACAGGACACCAATGTCCTACAAAGACAGAGGAAAAAGCTGCATTTCCATCACAGAAAAGCGCATTCTCACCACCTCTTTTGTTTGTGCCAGGTAGCTCTCACCTCGGCTTTTCTGACAGACATGCAACTGATGTAAAATTTCAGCCTCTATTAAAAAGGATGGGTGCTTTGTGAAAAACATCTCTGTGCCTAAAGAACACGTGAAGGCATCAATACCTCACATTTCATTTGGCTCTTTGCAGGAGGGAAATGCTCAGAATGCTGTCTGTTCGCTCTGAGGAGTGAAAGAGGCAGCAGTGTCATTCACCAGGTCACAAAACCATCTCGAGAACAAATTCAGGTGTGAAAGTCTATCCTCAGACAAAGAAGAAGTAAAAATAACAGAATTAAGAAGGAAAAACGTCACGTGACAAACAGACAGATAATTCAGATTCCTGTGCTTGCTTCTTCCTACTGCATCTTGAGAAACACCCACATGACTTATGACGTAACTGCTGAGATTCACTCAAACCACAGAAGCCATTTCAATTTTCTGGCTCTTCTATGTTGTAATTGTTCTTTAAGCACCCAAACTTTGGACATTTCCACACAGCTAAGGCAATTACTCTTACAAATCAAAATACCAACCATGTTCACACGAGCACCTTCTCTCGTACAGTTTTGAACCTGCACTCCAAATAGAAGTCATGCATACTCACTATATGTTTAGTGTTCATTCACTCCATGGGCCAATTAAATCAGACAGCAGTACTGCAACACCCTTCTCGCACCATGAACTGCAGCTTTTCCACCAACAAGAACACCTGGCAGCATTACATACCGCCATCGCTGCTTTCAGATTTCTCCTCCTTCCCTTCCCAGCCTTATGCAGCCTCCAATGCAGAAAGAAAGCAACACAAAACTGCAGCCTAACAGCTACAAAAAACCACTCTACCCAAAGCAGTGCAAACTTACTGCACTCTTATTATTATTTATTATTTATTCTGTAGATTACAGAAGTTTCTGTGACTCTAGTAGAAAAGTAACTGCAGTAAGAGAAAAATGATATCTTTTCCTCCTTTGCACCAACCTGATATTATTTACACAATCTTCATGAGCTTCAGAGAGAGTTTTGATGTGCTTTGAAGATATTGGGTCAAAAAGCAGCACTTCAGTCTGTTCACAAGCAACAGTGAGCACAGACCTGCAGGGGAGAACAAAACATTAACACTTGCATCTGACGAACGAACACAACACCCTCACACGCACAGCAAACTTCCAGATCTAAGATTCATGAAAATGGCTTGGCTTCTCTCCACATCACAGCAGTACTGTAAGGAATCACAGTCAGACACAATACTAATGCACAAAGAAAAGGGAGCTCTCTGACAAAAAGTGTTTTCTAGATACAGCACTGTTGTTACTGGCCAAAGACAAGAGGAAGGCACAGTCTAGATTTAGCATCAGATCATTAAGAAGTTCACAGTGAGTTCTGAGGTCCCAAACACCAGGACGCAGGCACCAGAAACATCACCCATCCAGTTTGGGAAGGCTGTCTAGCCTGTCCTACAGCATCAATATTTATTTGCTCTACATGTGTTGGAAAAGTCTGATACACCATCACTACAGTGACGGTTAAGCCTGCCCTGCTAAATTAGTGAAGGCAACCTCCAGGAAAGCTAAGATGCTCCCCCAACAGTGCAACAACTCAGATTGTTATGGCTCATGAGGCAGATCTCACTAGTGCCAAACAAACAGCTCACAGGTATAATCCTGGTCCTCAGCTCAGAGCACTGCTTTATGTCAGCAAGAGAATGGGCAGAGAACAGGAAGGCAGCTCTGCTCACTACAGCCAGCTCTGCTGAGGAAGGCTACAAAGAAATCCCAAGTGACCAAAGGTCAGAGAAGGTCTGCGACTGCTCTGCAACTGCTGAGTTGAACTGAACCACCACAAAAGCAAACGAGGTCTGAGCTGTTCCAACTGACCTTAAGGCAACTGGGGTTCAGTGCCAGGCTGCTATCTTCTGCCTAACACCACCTGTGGCCTGCTGAGAACATGCCAGCCAGCCAACAAAAGGCCAAGTCAGGGGAGACATCGCTGTGCCACTGCTGGGCTTATTTTCAGACAAGATCTGTGGCTCAGTCCACAGCGCAGCCTCACAAACAGCAGGCGCACAGGGGACAGCAAGAAGGCAGAACTTCTCACGCCAGAAACTTGCATGAAAAATAATGTTAAGCTACAGCAGAGGTAACAGATCTCAGGTGCGACCGAGGACACTGCTGAGCTCAATGTGAGACGGAAAGCCTTTCTGCCAAGGAAACCGCACAGCAGGCTGCAGTTACACACGCTTTCCTGAACAGAGCTTTCGGGCTGCCGCGCCTCTCCCATCCCCCGCAGCACCAGAGAAACCTCAGAGAATCACAGAATGGCCAGGGCTGGAAGGGACCTCAAGGATCACGAAGCTCCAACGGCCTGTCACATGCAGGGCCACCAACCTCCCCATTTAATGCTAGACCAGGCTGCCCAGGGCCCCATCCAACACCTCCAGGGATGGACGGGGCATCACAGCCTCTCTGGGCAGCTGTTCCAGCCCCTCACCACTCTCACAGCACGGAATTTCCCCTTGACATCCAGCCTAAATCTCCCCTCCCTCAACTTCAAACCGTCTCCCCTCGTCCTGCTGTCATCTCCCCTTTCCAAGAGCTGACTCCCCTCCTGTCTGTAGGCTCCCTTTAGGTACTGCAGGCTGCAATGAGGTCACCCCGCAGCTTCTCTTCTCCAGGCTGAACGAGCCCAGCTCCCTCAGCCTGTCCTCACAGGGGAGTGCTGCAGCCCCTCGAGACCTCGACCAGGACAGCTCCGTTCCAGAGCCGCCCCAAAGGCCGGCAGAGCAGGAGAGCAGCCAAAGGCCGCGCCGCAAGGCGGGACGCGGAGCGCCGGGCCCAGGCGACGGCCGGGGAGCGGGGCGCGGCCCGTACCCGTCCGGAGAGTACTCGAGGTTGAAGACGGCGCCGTGCGTGCGGGTGCTGAGGTACACGGAGTCGGCGGGCTGGATGGAGCCGTACAGCCCGGTCATGGCGCGGAAGCTGTCCCGCGCCGGGTCCACGGCGGCGCTGCGGCCCAGGCAGCGCCCGCGCAGCCAACCGAACAGACCGCCGCCATCCGGCGCCGTCCGCGGGGAGAGGGCGGCGGAGGGCGGCCGCATGCCGGCGCCGGGCCCCGGGGCCGCTGTGCCGGCGCGGGACCCCGCCTGGGCCGCCTCCGCGCTCATTTCGCGCCCGGGCCGGGCATCGCCGGGCCGCGCCTCCCGCCTCCCGCCGCCCTCCGCGCCTGCGCCGGCGCCCCCTTCCGGGCCGCGGCGCCCCCTGCCGGCCGCAGCGCGTACCGCACGCGGGTCACCCCGAGCGGGCCGGGGCGCCGCTCCGCGCTCCGGTGCTGAAGAGAAGCGAAGAAGCGAGACTCGCGGCCGCCATCGGCATTCATTGCTTTTATATACGTTCGAAACAACGCGACGGAACCGCCCCGCAAGGCAGCCTCAGGCGCCGTCCCTGCCCGCCTCGCGGGGCGTCCGGCCCATGTTGTAGAACTCCTTGTTGGGGCGCAAATCGACAAAATGGGCGATGCGATTGGACATGGCAAAAAAGGCGGCGATGGTGGCGATGTCCCACGCATCTTCGCGGTCAAATCCGTGTGCTTCCAGCTTCTGGAAGTGTTCCTCCGTGATGTTCTCTGCACGGCAGACTGCAAGGGCGAACTCCAACATCGCCAGGTCCCGGCTGCTCAGGTCCGCCAGCTCCCAGTTGACCACGACCTGAGAGGAGGCAGAGCACAGTGAAATGGGAGAATGCGGTGCTGCGATGGCGGCATGCCAGCATCAGTCCCTCTGTGGGCATCGGGGAGAATTTCTTTTCCGAAGGAGCGGTCAGCGGTCAACGATCCCAGGACGTGCTGGAGTCGGCACCGTCCCCAGACGTGCTCAGGAACTGCGGCACTGACGGATGGTGGGGACGGGCTGGCAGCTGGACTCCGTGATCTTAGTGGCCTTTTCCGACCCTAATAATTCTGTGATGCTGTGATTCTCTCTGCTCTCGCTGGGAGCCACACAGACTTAATGGTCACAGCTTGAGGCGAGGAGAGATACGTTTGAGAACATCACCCCTACTCCCCAGAAGAACAGTGCTCCACTGACCTGGTCAGCCAGCGTCGGCTGCTTGGAATATATCCGATGAAGCGCCCCGTGTGCGACCACGCAGTAGGGACATCTGTTCACAGCACTTGTGGCCACAATGATGAGCTCCTTGTCCGCTTTGCTGAGTCGCCCTACAGGGACAGAAAAGGATTTAGCTCACTCTGTTAGCAAAAACATCCATGGCAGCAAGTACTGCTGGGGCAACACGGAAGACAGGTCTCTGGGGACAGGCAGCAGGCACTATGGCCAGAGTTCCTTAAAGCACACGAGGAGACTTCAACCACAGATCCAGAGAATCAGTTAACTTGGATCGCTGTTTGGGAGGCATCTCATTAGGATAAGGAACACATTGGGGTAATAATAACTCTACTGCAATGTTCTAAAATCACGTTTCAAGCAAGAAAACGCTGCAGCTTTTGAAGGCAGAGAAGGAAGCACAGAGGAGCAATGAGGTACCCTAGGACTGTGCCTCTGAGAACTTCTAGTGACCACCACACAGATGAAACACAACTTTTTAAGTGATTCTCCAAAGAATCTCTGGAGAAGATGGCTGTGCTTTGTTATACTTGGAATCAGTACTAATCATTTTCACAAACAGCTTCACAACAAGACTGTCCACAGCACCTGAGGAACTTACCTTACCTCGATGTCAGCTCTTACACTCTGTCTTTTTATCAGATCATTAGAAACAGTATTTCTTGAAACCGGAGTTCACACTGAAGGACAAATATTTGCACAGGACAAGTATCTTCCAGGACAGTGAAAAATACTACTAAAACCTTTTAGGGGAAGAGAACTTCCTGCTCTGACACAGTTCAGTTATAGAAAGTGGCAACTCCTGATACTTCAGGGTAAGTGCTGAAAAGGGTGTGATGCCAGGTAGTTCCATGTGACTCTCCAGAGTCAATCAAAAAGCAGCACAGGAATGAGAGCAGAAAAAAGACCCTTGTATAGCTTGGGCTTCACTTCAGCAGTGCAAGCAGAGCAGAAACCTTCATGCATAAACTGTGCATATCACAGTGAGAGAAACAAAAAGTTGCACTTTGCTGCCCACAAGGACTCTCCCTGCAAGCTCCCATCTACTTTAAGGCTAAGGAGCAGTCTGCTCAGCAGCTTGTTTTACAGAACGCCGATCTTACTGATGTAAGACCCTTACAACACAAGCAATGAGAACCAGCTGCTCAGTGCCCCACAGCACAGGAAGCAGGAGGGAGGAACAAGCAGTCCTCAACTGTTTTCTGAAAGGCTCGAACAGTGTGCAGCATTCCCTGCATGAAGCCTTCCCCAGATGCACTGCTGCAACCTCCCTCCCTTCCATATTCGAGGGACACCTGGAGGCCACCTGAATCACAGAATGATAGAATTGCTCAGGTTGGAAAAGACCTTCGAGATTATCCAGTCCAACCACAACCCAACCATCCTACCCTAACAACCCTCTGCTAAATTATGTCCCTGAGCACCACATCCAAATGGATTTTAAACACATCCAGGGATGGTGACTCAAGCACCAAGCCCATTCCAGTGCTTACCAACCCTTTCTGTAAAGAAGTATCTCCTCATATCCAACCTAAACTTCCCTGGTGCAACTTGAGGCCATTTCACCTGTCATTAGTAAGAAGAGACTAACTGCTCTGCAGTAAGTACATTTCAGATGCTGGAAGAGAGCAATAAGGTCTCCCCTCAGCTTGCTCTTCCCCAGACTGAACATCCCCAGTTCCGTCAGTTGCTAAAGACCTGCTGTACAGATGTCCATGTATATGAAAGCAGAACAGTCTTCTTTCTGTGTCTGCAGGATACGGAGAACTACCTGCATTTGGAATCATATCCACAGCAGAGCCTGTCAGGGCCCAGCAGGCATACCCTCTAGCGACTTTTGCATCTGGCTCATGGTGAGCTCACAGGTAAGGTTTATCATGAAGAAAGAGCTGGAGGAAGCCTGAGCAATAGCTTTGGAACACCTCCCCTCCCCCAGGGAGCTGTCTCTGTGTTAGGGCCTTAGCCCAAGCTATATGGCTGCAGTGCCTGGCTGTGTAACCATGCTGATATGAATCCTGGACCAGACACTAGGCCTTGCCTAGGAAATCTGGACTGTTGGCAGAGCATGCTCACCACTGGCAGACCTACTGTGCTCACTTTGCTCAAGCAGTGTGAAACTGCAGCATCATTCCTGATGCCTGTGCCTGCCCTCAGCTCCTGACCCACTTTCCCTCAGGAAGCAGCCCGTCCTTCCTTTGTTGTGACGCAGAGCACAGTGTCATGAGGTAGCTCAGCTATTCTCATGGGCTGCTTCTTAACTATGAGCTGTGAGCTGCGATAAGCAATGGTGAGGAAATAAACCTGAGAATGTCAGAGAAGTTGGTTCCAGCATTTTTTACATCTATAGAGGAAAGGGCAATTTTGGGGTGATTGTATATGGTTTACCTGTCTCTTTGTTCATGATGACATTGTAATAAGCAAAAAAAGCTCTGAATTCAGCAGGTCGGTGAGACATGGCTTTGAACACGTTGGGCAGAAATCCAGTCTGTTCAAGGAAAAGGAGAAACCAGTCAAGAGCTGCAACTTAACATGGAGCACAGCAGGCCACATTCACACATTAGGCTTAGAGAACAAGTAGTTTGCACTGCAGTCCTAGGGAATCTCCACAGACCCAGTCTCCTTGGGCTTTGAGCCTATTTGTACACATGACTAAAAATCATGCAATAATATTGTCCTTAATTAAGCACTGCTGCAGTTTCTTGCAGCCCTGATCACTTCAGCCATGCCAGCAATGACCACAGTCATACAGCCCTCAGGCATCATGACAAAATCCTTTCCAAACCGAAAGATTGTAATCTGCTCCAACTCTGCACAACAGCTGCTACGACCCTTTGGCTAACAGTTCCTGGAGCTCTCCCTTTCACGTTTATGGGATGTGAGACAGTCAACCCAAGCCAAACAGCATGCTGTCTGAGGTACAAGCACAACCTGAAGGTGTGTGCTGGCACAGTGCTGTTGCACTCAGTGCAGGATTTCAGTCACCCTGATGGCCAGGCACGCGAGATTCCACTGCAATTCTGCAAATTCCACTTTTGTTGTGATTACTCCATTTGTCCGCAGGCCCTGCCAGCCTATATGCTGCTGTTTGGAAGGTGTTCTGAAAAGACAGCCTAGCTCAAGTGTAACAGACTCCTCCAGCAGTCTCCTCTCACGAACAAGAGCCAGTACATTCCTCCTGCCTCACACCTGTGCTAGTTATTAATTAACTATGGGGAGGCTCCTTCCCTTTAATCCATGGCTCAATGGTTTGTCTAGGAACCTCTTGGCAGCACTGTTTGGAATCCCAAGGCTTCTGTGCTGATTTGATCCCATCCACTGCTCTATTCTGAACCTTCACTGCATCTGAAATCAGTGCTCACTCTTCCTCACTACACTGTATTTGTCTTTTGCTCATATGCAAACTTCCCTGAGATTGCTGCAATGCAACAAAGCTAAGACATCTAAGTATCCAAGTGGCCCAGCACTGGTCTCCGACAACGTATGTCAGTGGATGTCTGCCACTGACAAAATTTTTGCACGAGAGCTTTTTACCTTCACTTCCACTTCCTCCATGAGCTCCACGATATCATACGGCATGTCCTTCTTATTTGGCACTGGGTATCGCCCAATAGGTCTGACAGAGCTGTCATCCTTGGTGCTGTACGCATGGCGCTGGGCAGCCACGGGGGGCCTTTTCAGGAGTCCCCTGGAGGCCAGGAAAGGAAGATGCTGCTGGGAGAGGAGGGGGAAAAGTCTGTTGTGTGGAAGGACATCCATCATCCTGGGGGTTGGGGAAGACTGTTTCTCAGGTGCTGTGGCAGGACTTGCAGGCGCCCGCATCCCTCTGTGCTCTGCTGGCAGGGCAGCTGGCACACAGGAAAGAAAACCCCGCCTTGCTTCTGGCCTAGCACTGTGCTACAGGGCAGACAACGGGCCTGCATGAGCCTCGCCTTCCTGCATGCCCATGTCAGAGGGTGGACTGGGCTGCATGCAGTCCTGGCTGATTGTGGGCCTTCGTTCTGCACCACCACTGAACCTGAACCCTGAGAAATTTTCCTTCTGCGGTGGCTGACAGCACTACAGGATTCAGGATTATTTTTTTTTCTTCTCTGATACATCTCACTCCAAGAAAGCTAGTCTCCCTCTTGCAGGAGGGGAAGCGGCTCCAGATTCGGGCCACCGAAGTAAAGCAAATACCACTGTCACACCGAAGCCATGGGGAAGAAAGGCTCGGTGCTCACACGAGCTGCCTCCTGCCGTTGCCAGCCCAGGGCCGTTCCAGAAACGTCCGTGTCCTGCCACAGCGTCAATGAGTAACGGGGAGAACCGAAGAGCGGAGCGAGGTCAGCGTCCGTGCGCGCAACGGGACCGCAGCACGGGAGAACAGACCAGCATGAAAGCACTAAGCAGGAAGGCAACACAGCCGAACCAAAGCACGGCGGGGCGACGGCGCGGGGCCGGAGGGCTTTTCCTGCGCACCGAGCAGTGCCGGGGCTTTGCAGCACAGCCTGCGGGAGGCGGCCCACGGCTGCACACATACACACACAAAGCACGGCCACGGGACACAGGGAGGAAACGGCCCCGCGGCGGGGTCGGTCGGTCGGTCTGTCAGTCGGTCGGTTCCCGTACTCACGGGCAGGCCGCGCAGCAGCCGGGAGCCGCTCATGGCTGTCCTCCGTCGCCGCCGCGGAGCGCAGCTGGGGGCCGAGCCGGGAGGCCGAGCCGAGCCGGCCCCGCCCCGTCCTGCCCCGTCCCGCCCCGCCCCGCGGCGGCGATGGAGGGCGGTAGCGCAGCAGCCGAAGCCGCGCCGGTGGACCTGGAAGCGGAGATGGAGGCGGCGCGCGGGGCGCTCGCGCTGCTGCGGCTCGGGCCGACGGGGTCCGGCGAGGCTCCGTGCTCGGTGCGTGCGGGGCGGGGCGGAGCGGAACGGAGCGGGGGCCGCGGCGACGACCCCGAGCCTGACCGTGCCGCCCTGCAGAGGAACGTCCTGCGGAAGCGGAGGCGTTGGGAGCGCGTGTTGGCGGCGCGGCGGCGGCGGCGGCCGCAGGAGCGGGAGCGGAACAGAGCGCGGCGACCCGAGGGCCGAGGTGGGCTGGCGCGGGGTGCGAGGCCGGGCCGGGCAGGGTCGGGCGGGGCAGGGCCGAGCAGGGCAGGGCCGGGCTGCCCTCCGCGCTGTGCCCTGCAGGAGCCGCCCGGCAGCGTGGCAGGGCCCTGGCGGAGGAGCGGCTCCTGGATGCCCGCGCGGCGGGCCCGCGGCTGTGCGTGGATCTCGGCGTGGCCGACCGCATGACGCCCAAGGTAAGTGCCGGCCCGCCGCTGGGAAGCCCCGCTGTGCCCCGGGGCTGCCGTGACGCGGCGCTCCGCTCTGTCGGAAGGAGACGAGCCGGCTGGCAGCGCAGATCCGCCGCCTGTACGGCGCTAACAGGCGGGCCGAGCGGCCCTTCTGGCTCTGCCTGACCGAGTTGGTGCCGGGGTCGCCCATCCACCGCGAGTGCCTCCGCATGAACGACGGCTTCTCCGGATACCTGGTAAGGGCGCTGGCACGGCGGGGGGGCTGAGGGGGGCTCGGCGACGGCTCTTCTCCAGTCTTAATGGCTGCGAGGTTCCTGAGTCTCTCAGGTATTGCAGTCTTATTTAAAAGGAGAAAGATACGCCATAACTGCCTAAAAGCACTTCTAGAGATTTTCACGAGGAGAGAATTTAATGGTTCTTAAGCTATTTATTCTCAATGAAAAAAAAAAAAAAGGCATCTCAGTTCCACTATTCTGCCTTTAGCTGTAGGCAATGAACACCCAAATCATTGCTGTTGGTTCTGGAGTGCTTCTGTCTGGGCTGGGGCGGGTGGCAGATGGACTGTGGCTCATGGGCTTTTCTCACTGTGCTGTGTTTTTCAGATGGATACGACTCAAGAAAGCTACCTGGATCTGTTCCCTTTGGATGCAATTGTTTATCTCACTCCTGACTCTGAGAACGGTAAGTGTTTCACTTGCCTGAAGGGAATGGAGGCAAAGATTGATCCTCTAGACGTTATTTTTAGGAGTTTCTCATGCATCACGTGGTTCAGTTCCAATTGTTCCCTTTCTCTCACTACCCGAGGAAGGCTTCTCTTAGACCTGGTGCTCAGCGTACTCCTGCATCAGTCTGTTCTGGGAAGAAATGAGGTTTTGTGTGAGGGCTGCATCCATCTGCAGCAAACACAATGCAAAAATTCTCTAGATGCCTGCAGATTGTTATCCTGCCGGCAGAGAAGTGGAGATGTGGTGGTTGTGTACGTGGTGTGAAGGGCATCTTTCTTTGAAATGATGTGATGTCTGCGCCGCTCCTTTTATTGGTTCATTTGCTGCTGTAATTGACTTTCTCCTTTTTCTCCATTTTTAACCTGGCCACGTGTTTGTGGGGACACTGATCCTTTTCTTGGTTTAAGGGTCAGCTCTGATAAGGATCTGGCAGAGGTGGGGGGAGGTTTCCACGGGTGACCTTGGCGGTGGGGAGGGTCTGTGGGGCAGGTTAGGATTGCACTCACCAGGACAACGATGAAAGGAGCAGTGCATTGCCTCTAGAGCTGCATCTGCACTCTGCTTCCAGCCCACATCTGCTCTCGCCTTGTCACACTGCCAGCAGATTCAGGCAGATGCTGCTGCCTTAGAAGCCTCAGCTTCCTGCAGGCAGGGTGAAGGGTGACGGCGGCTTGGGCTTCCCTGTGTAAGATGGGCCTTTCCTGAAGAATGGTGCAGTGCATGATTTTACTGTTGCAAGAGCATGTGCTTATCTTCTTCTAGTCCTTGAAGATATTGATCCCAAAAAAGTGTACGTCCTTGGAGGCCTGGTGGATGAAAGTATACATAAGGTGGGTTAAAAGCTGTTGAAACCTGAAGGTCTGGTCTGCCTCACTCTTGACTGAGAGCAGAGACATCCGAGTGGCAGCAGTCACAGTTGCTGCCTGGAACCATTGCTGTTGTGTCACTATCCATTTTCCCACGGAACCCCAAGGTTCTGCTTGGCTCCGGCACCAGGCTGAGGCCAGAATGGTCTGGTGAAATCAACCCTCCTACAGTTTCCAGGCTCACAGCTGCATGTTCCACAAGTGATGTGCATGCTATGGATTTGCATCTACACCAGCACATCATCATGGGCAACAGACAGGAGGAGCTGGAGGCCATTCTGTGGCAGGCAAACTATGATTTAGTTGCCATTACAGAAACAGGGTGAGATCACTCCCACAACTGGAGTGCTGCAGTGAATGGCTGTAAGCTCTTCAGAAGGGACAGGCAAGGAAGGGTGGGGGCAGCGGTGTGGCTCTCTGTGTTGGAGAGCTCTTTGATGTTGAGCTGGGGGCTGGAGATGGTAGGATTGAGTCCCAGTGGGTAAGGATCAAGGGAAGGGCCAACAAGGCGGACATCCTGGTGGGGGTCTGTTACTGACCACCTAACCAGCATGAAGAGACTTGAGGCGTTCTGCAGACAGCTGACAGAAGTTGTGTGGTCGCCAGCCCTTGTTCTCATGGGGGACTTCACCTTCCCTGGTACATGCTGGAAATACAACACAATGTGGAAGAAGCTGTCTGGGAGGTTTCTAGAGTGTGTGGGAGATGATAACTTCCTTTTGAAGCTGGTGAAAGAACCTATCAGAGGAGATGTCCCGTTAGACCTGCTATTCAGAAACAAAGAAGGACTGGCGGGGAGATGTGGAGGTCAGGAGCTGTCTTGGACAGAGGGAGGGTTAAGGTTAAGGTGACCATGAAATGGTAGAGTTACTGATGGTGGAACCAAGAGAGGGGACAGCAGAACTGCTGCCTTGGACTTCTGGAGGGCAGACTTGAATGTTCGGGACATTATAGGGAGAGTTCATTGGATTCAGCCCTGGAGGATAGAGGGGTCCAGGAAGGCTGAAAGCTCCTCAAGGACAAAGTCTTTAAAGGAGCAGGCTGTCCTGCTGTGCTGAGAGACGAGCTGGCAGGGAAGACAGGTGTGGATGAACAGGGAGTTTTTCCTGAGACTCCAGGAGAAAAAGAATCTTCCTCCTGTGGAAGAAGGAATGGACACCTTGGGGAGAGTACAGAGAAGTTGTTAGGATGTGCAGGGAGAAAATCAGAAAGGCAGAAGCTCAGCTTGAACTCAACTTGGCCATTGGGATAAAAGAGAACGAAAATCTTTTTTTTGCAAGTATGTTAACAGTAGGAGGAGGACCAAGGAGAATCTCCATCCTTTACTGGGTGTGGAGGGGAATGTGAGTGCTGAGGATAAGGAAGAGGCTGAGGTTCTCAGTGCCTTTGCATCTGTCCATTATCCTTGGGGTACTCTACCCCCTGTCCTGGAAGTCTTGGATGGTGAGCAGAGCAAACCCCCACAATTCGGGAGGAAACAGTGACCTACTACTCCACCTGGACTGCCACAAGTCCATGGGGCCGGATGGGATCCACCCAGGGGTGCTGAGGGAGCCAGTGGAGGTGATTGCCATGCTACTTTCCATCATCTGCCAGTCAGCTGGAGAGGTCCCAGAGGGTTGGAGGCTTGCCAGCGTGACTCCCATCTACAGGAAGGGTCATGAGGTGGATACAGGGAACTACAGGCCTGACCTCAGTGCCAGGGAAGGTTATGGAGATTGTCTTGAGGGAGATCACACAGTGTGTGTGGGACGACCGGGGGGTCAGGCCCAGCCAGCATGGGCTCATGAAAGGCAGATCCTTCTTGGCCAACCCGATCTCCTACAATCAAGCGGCCCACCTGGTGGGTGAGGGGTCTGCATAGACTACAGCAAAGCCTTTGGCACTGTCTCCCACAGCATTCTCCTGCAGAAGCTTGGCAGCCCGTGGCTTGGACAGGTGCACTCATGGCTGGGTAAGGAGCTGGCTGTAGGGCTGGGCCCAGAGAGTGGTGGTGAATGGAGCGCCATCCAGTGTCCTGTGACCAGTGGTGTTCCCCAGGGGCTGTACTGGGGCCTGCTCAGCACCTTTAGCGATGGCCTGGATGAGGGCACTGAGTTCATCCTCAGTTTGCAGGTAACACCCAGCTGCAAGCAAGTGTTGATCTGCCTGGGGGCAGGCAGGCCCTCCAGAGGGATCTGGACAGGGTGGATCAATGGGCTGAGGCCAGTGGGGTGAAGTTCAACAAGACCAAATGCCAGGATCTGTGCTTTGGCCACAACAAGCCCAGTGCTACAGGCTTGGGGCAAAGTGGCTGGCAAGCTGCACAGAGGAGAATGATCTGCGTACTTTAGCTGGCATTCAGCTGAACATGAGCCAGCAGTGTGCCCAGGTAGTCAAGAAGGCCAATGACATCCTGGCTTGTACTAGAAGTAGTGCAGCCAGCAGGAGCAGGAGGGATCAGCCCCCTGTACTTAGCCCTATCGAGGCCCCACCTCAAGTGTTGTGTTCAGTGTTGGGCCCCTCACTGCAAGAAGGACCTTGAGGCCCTGGAGCTTGGCCAGAGAAGGGCAATGGAGATGTGAGGGGTCTTATGGGGAGCAGTTGAGGGAACTGGGATTGTTCAGTCTGGAGAAGAGGAGGCTCAGGGGAGACTTGATCGCTCTCTACAGCTTCCTGAAGGGAGGTTGTGGTGAGTGGGGGTTAGCCTCTATTCCTATGGAACTAGTGATAAGATGAGAGGTGACGGCCTGAAGTTGCACCAGTGGAGGTGCAGGTTGGACACTAGGAAATGATTCTCCAGGAGAGCAGTCAGGCACTGGAATGAGCTGCCCAGGGTGATGCTGGCATCTCCGTCCCCAGAAGTATTCAAGAAATGTTTAGATGTTGTAGTGAGGGTTAGTGGGAAATATTGGTGATAGGCGAACTGTTGGACTGAATGATTCTGGAGGTCTTTTCCAGCCTTGGTGATTCTGTGATTCTGATGTGCCCGTTGTGTAACTTGCCCTTGCTTCCTTTGCAGAACCTGACCCTGCAAAGGGCACGAGAGCAGTCCCTGCAAACAGCCCGCCTCCCAATTCGTGAGTATATGGTAAAATCCACGAACACCAAGAACTACTACTCGGAGACACTGGCAATTAATCAAGGTGAGGGGCTGAGCTGTGTCCTGCCTGCTTCCCAGGTGGCTGAGGCTATTGCATCCTGAAGAGTCATCAGTAATGGAAGCATGATAATGAGTAGTGGGGGAAACTGTGATAGCAGGCACTTGTTTTCTGAGGCCTTGTGCCTGCTACTGCCGTGTTAAAAGTCTTGTTTTTCTATACTGGCCTTTTCTGAGAGGAGCAGGGCTACACCACGCCAGCTTTGCACGGAACAACTAACAGTGCAAGGAGTGTGCTGTTACTAGAAGTCGCTTAAGGTTCCAGGCAAGGGAAGACAGGCCTGTGTCAATCTGAATCAAAGCAAGGCATGGCACCCAGCAGGGTAACTGGAGGCAGCTTGCTTGGTTGAGAAAGCCTCTGCTTTCCCCAGTCAGCTTCAGAGTCATCATTAAAACACATTATCTTCTCTCAGATAAGCTACTTCACATGTTTGTTCATGAGAAAAGCTCCACGCTACTTTCCTCTGGCATCGCCTGATATTTCCCAGCTAGGGGAGGATTATTACAGCTTGCCTTTGTAACAGTATGAGAGCACGGTACATCTTCTTGTTCCCAACAGTCTTTGATGTCTTATCGACTTACTACAAAACCCAAAGTTGGCCAGATGCTTTGAAAGCTGGAGTTTCTTCTGGAAAAGGCTACGTGCTTCCAGATGGAGAGAAATCAGTGAAAATACCTCAGCATGACAATGCACAAGAAAACTCTTTATTTCCTGAAAGTTAAGGAGCTGTGCAAGCAAGAGTAGCAAACTGCATATTTCAAGCAGAGGCACCGGTGTGAATGTGTGCAGAGAAAACAGCTCTGCCTAAATTTACTTACGTACGGACCTTGGCAAGAGTGACAGATTCTGCCTCAGCAGCACAGTGCTGGAAATGACTTTGCACCTTGAACAGAAAACAGAAGCCAGCTGAGCCCTGAGATCAACAGAGTTGGTAGGATTTTTTTTTTTTTTAACAGGATTAAATAGGAAGAATCATAGAGCACAGCAGTTAATAACAGTCCTTCCCATGGAAAAGGACAGTACCATTCTAACTGAGCACAGAATGGGAAGCAATCCAAAATTAATAGAGAAACAGTGCCCAGGTGCATCATATTTTCTTCCTACTTGTATTGAAGACTTGGTGTCTTGCTGTGCTGCTGAAGGCTGTAGTGAATCTTGTGCATGCTGGTCACAATCTATCTAAAATAAAGTATTTAAATTTCTATTGCCTCCTTACAGCAACTGATGTCTTGTCCATAGTCACATACTAACTTGCTATGGCCTGAGCAGAGAACACTTCTGATGCACATAAAAGAACGTTACTTCAGCCACTGTCAGTTAAAAAATCCTACAAGTACACAGAAAAGCCAAACCTACTATCAGTGACTGTCCAAGAAGGAGTTAGAGGGCTTTGCAAGGTAAATTCCTGTCACCTTTGCTTCCATCTTCATCTCCCCTTCACAGCAAGGGCCTTTGACACCACCAGGAATTTGGTATTCATGAGACATACTGTCAGAAGGTGGTTCCTCCCCTAGAGGCTGCAGTTGTGTTTGCAGGTGCCTGTTGCTTTGCTATTTGCTATGGGCTTCCTCCTTGTATTTGTGTTCCATGCTCATCAGCTGTTAGTAGGTAGTTAGATGTCACTGCAGCTCTGCCGGGACAGCAAGGGCAGCATTTTGGCTTCAGTGTAAGATTTTAACTTCCTGATTCAGCCCGTCAGTTTGCAGGGCAACACCATATACTAGCTGAAACCATCTGCAAGTGATGAAGTGTCAGGAAATCCTCCTTGGGTGAACTGTTCACCTACCATGCCATGTGGCTGAAAACACTTCGGCCTTTGGAGCCTGGACAGCAGGCTGCCCATGGTTAGGCAGAGCAGCTGTGATGTTCCATCCCAGTGCCCAAGGCCAGGCTGGACAGCATGCTGCACAGCCTCAGCCCACAGCAGGGGACTGCAACTGAGTGGGCTTTAAGGTCCCCTCCAACTCAAGCCGTTCTGTGATTCTACGATCTCCCTGGTTTGGGGTCTCTTAGTGCTGCTAGAGCACCCATCCAGCACACCACCACTGCCCCCCACCCCTCCTCAGCTGCCTCCATCTGTCACTGCTGCATGTGGGGAACATTCTTTACCAGAGCCTGGAACAAGGAGGCTGGGAAGCTGCCTGCTGCTTGGGCAGAGCCCTCCATCCCAAGCACACAGTGCAGGGACTGACCTGCAAGCATCACCCTTCCCAAACAAGTCCCCCGGTCAGGCACCAGCAGTCAGGGACATGCTGCAACCCTCTTTACCACCAGATTGCTGAGGATGTGCACTGGATAGCACACATTCACTAGAGGTGCTCAATTAGGATAGGTTTAAGGGCTAATAGCTCATATCTAGCTAGGCATACCTAGCACTTTGTGCAGCTATTGATGACAAGGTCAGGAAAAGCGGCGTGCCTTCAAGGGAGGCTGGCATAATGGGTTATGTCAACAGCTGCAAAGTTGGCACTTCTGTCTTCAAGACTTATCCCCTTTTTTGGAAGACAGGGATCAGTAGGTAGCTATTTTGTGGCAAGGCTAGCAAGGGAGAGGCTGCTGATTAGGGACTTTCTTCAGCATTAGCAACTGTAAATAGATAAGGCTGACACACAGAAACTACATCAGGAGGACAGGATATGGTGCTGCATCCCCAGCCTGGGACAACCTTCTCTATATTTGCAAGGAGAAACAGAATAATTCTTTTTCCCAAAGTGGTTTCCATCACAGGTCAACCACAGAGGGTAGGCAGAACAGCCCAGCTCTCTTTGGTGGACCAGACTGACTCTGATCTCGCTCCCCTTCAGAGCTCGCTTGGTCACCTCTCTGCCTGGGGGGTGTGCTCCCCAGGTGACAGGAGGCTAGGACAACACTTATCTGGCTGGCTATCTGCAAGGTGCTGGGGAGCTGAAGGACAAATCCCAGGCTACATAGATAAGCTATGAAGTGCTCTGTGAGTTTGCACATTATGCAGAGCTTGTGTATATTAGATAAAGCGAGGCTGGGGGGGCACATGCTCTGTCCCATGGCCACCCCTGAACTAGGCAGCTGTTGGTGGAAGTCACTTGACACACGGAGGCGTCCTTTCATGACCATTTGCTGAGCTGTGGGGGTTAAACGTCTCATGTGGGGGAGCCTAGTGATACATGAATGAAATGTGGGGAGGCTCCTCCGTACTCGCCAACTGCCCTGTCACAACGGGGGGACCCTGAACTGCTGCAGGAGGCAAAACGTGGCAGCAGTAAGGGCTGTGTGCTGACGTGTCAGGAGCGTGCTACCCAGGTCTGGGCAGCCTTGCCTGCAAAGCTGCTGGTGAACAGCCTGCACTAGCTGGTGGTAGGTGCCCACCACATCCACGAGCGCAGCCCTGAGCTCCTGCTGCCTCTGCCTGCATAGCTGGCAGTGTGTCACCTGGAAGCAGGCCACTGCCAGCTGAACAAGGTGGTCAAACGTCACCCTCAACACCTCCTGCAACTCTTCAAGTGGACGCTCCGTTTTCAGAAGCTCCTTGCAGCTGGACAGCAGGACCTGAGAGGCCGAGCCAAGGGCATCTTTGCTCTCAGCACCTTGCTCTGCACATCGGTCTTGCAGGTGGATTGCTTGGTTCCCAGAGAGGTTCCCCACAACTTCCTGTAGCTCTGTAATGTAGGCTAGGAAGCCCAGGAAATCTGCAGGGCTCGTCCATGCCTGGTCCTTCAGTTGGCTGAGGGCTTGGACTTCAGGGCCCAGCGCTCCGTCCCAAGCAATGGCAATGGGGAAACTACCAGAGCTGGTGGACGGTGGAGTAGTGACAGGCTGCAGAAACATGCTGCACGTGGGATTGGTGGTTTCCTGCTTTCTGTCTTCATTGGACCTATGGAAACAGCTGACGTAGGACAGCTGACAGCTGCACTTGTCCATCCCAAATTGTGCCGAGGTCGTCTTCATCACAGAAAATCCCGCAGACCTGGTCAGGATGGGTCCGGCAGCAGCCTGCTCATCCTTTTTGTGATTAAAGCAGAGGAAGGAGTGATTTGAATCCCCATTGTCTCCTGTTTTCCCCAATGAGCCCAAGGGAACTGGGTCTGAGGAGATGGAAAGCTCTCTGGTTTGAAGAGTGTCTTTCCCCACTGTGGCAGACTGTTCTCTAAGAAAAGGAGTCTGAACAGGCTGGGAATGCTCATGAGCCACGTCTTCTGTGTCTTTTCTGGGCTCCCCTTCAACCATCCCATGCTTGCTTTCCAACTCTTTCTCAAGAGCTGGTGTAGCTGATGATGTCTGCATCTCCTTTCTGACAGTATCATCCCCCACGCACACAGTGGTCCACTGAGAGTCCAAAAGCTCTAGAGGGTCGTGCCCTCTCTTCTGAGATGGGTTGGGCAGTATTACGTCTGACCTCACCTGAAATGAGAGCCAGGAGAGGTGAGCTATAACCCCTGAACTGCTGCTGCCATTTGCTAACAGCTGCCTTGCATCTGGAAAACCCACGTGGTTTTTATCATGCACTTTCTTTAAGGCCTCCTTGCTTATTGCTTGTCTGCTTATTGCCTGTGACAAGGCACTGTCACTCTGGCTTTCAGCACAGCCATCGAGATTAGCTTTTCCTTCTTCACCACACGGAGCCAGCACAGGCTCCTCACATGCCACTTGCCTCCCAGCTGTGGGAAGCAGATCTTGCTCCTTGGCCACCCCACGGGGAAAAGCACTACAAGACAAAGGCGGCAGAGTGCGTTCATCAGTAGAGCAGGCCATCTCTTGGCCCTGGAACCTGCCAGCCTCGTGCTTGGGTTCCATCACATCATGCTCCCCTTCCAGTGCTGCCTGGGTTAGCTGGTTTTTGGTGGTCGCACAGTCCTCGTCACTTGGCCCCTTCACTGTGGGGCTCTCCTTGATAGCACTGCTCTGTTCCTGGGGAAGGTGCACAGCTTCCTCTTGGAGCAAGGAAGTTGGGTGTACAGCATGTGCAGGACAGAGTGCAGCAACATCTGCACTCTCCTCCCTCTGGTCACCTTGCAAGCGAACAGCTGAAATGGAAGAAACCACCAAATCAGTCACTGACTTTGTTTCCATGGTGTCAGGCTCCATTTCCATCACACCGGAGGATGAGTTTGTGCCAGCAGTGTCTCTCTGGGCCTGGGGGGCAGACGCTCCCAGTTCTGCATCCTTCTCCAAAGAAGGTGAATCTGAGGGCTGAGCAGGGAGTGGCGGGGTGGGTGGCCAGGAGCAGCAGCTCTGCAGAGAGCCTGGTACAGCCAATGGGAAAGTGACCTGTGAGGTGTAATTGGTTTTCAGAAAAGATCTCCTCTTCCTCAGGCTCTTGGAATATATCAGCTGCTTCTCCTCTCCATATTTCTCTCCTGATGTCTGCCTTGATATTGAGTTTTCTCCCAAGCTGTAACATCTTGGTTTCTTTAGGATGCAGTTATCCTCTGTATTCTCCTGGGATGTTGTCTGGCAGCCTGCTGGCAAGGAAAGAACATGTAAGTCAGGAAATGACCCCAGGCAGCAGAATACATGTACATCTCTCCCAGGAGCCAAAAAGCTCTTAAGTCCTGCAGTCGCAGACAGCAGCATTTGGCAGCAGAGCCTGCCTCCCAAGTGCCAAAGGAAAGTCTCTCTTATGGTCATGTACCAACTTGGAATGAGCTGTGTCAGAAAGAAACAAAAAAAAGTTTTGACTCATGGCTGCAAATACTGAAGTCCAGGATTAGCTACAAAGGGAGCTGGGTAATCTTTCCCTTTGATTTTGCCAGAGTGACTTGATCTGACTGCAGATACAGCTGCAATTCTCTAGTTAAGTTTGGTGACACAAGTAACGTGCTAGGGGAACTACTGTTTACAGGGGCAGATTGAATAGAAACATTATCAGAAATTCCCAGCCTGGATATGTAGATCATAAAAATATCCAGAGGATGCAGTTTTGTGCCTGAACACCATACTGTCAACATGCATTAATTCAAAAGCCAACATGGTTACAACTACACAAAACAAATTCTGAAATTCGTTTAACACTGATAGAGGTGGTTAATTCAGAAGTGGGAGTCCTAACTTTTATGAGAAAACACAACTACTAGGGAGCAAGCCATATAGCTGAGCAAGCCTCTGACCCCTCCTCTATTTCTGATCTCTGGGGTGCAGGGAGCAGTAAGATGTCCCACAGCTGGAAGGAGGAGTGAAGGCAGAGCCTGGAAGCAGAAGGACCTGTCATCAAGGCACCTGCCTGTTCAAAGGCACGCATCTCCCCTGCACTCTGACTCTGGGATGCATTACCCTCTTCAAAACCAAAGACAGCCTATGTAGAAGGCTGCACAGAACTTAATCCTGCTGCATGTTGGCTTCCAGATCAGGCAGTGACATAGCTTCCTAGTCTGGAACTCCTGCAGAAACCTGGAGACTTTCCAGGATTTGAAACTCATTTGAAAACAGGCTCTTTTCTTGGATCCAATGCTTGCAGGTGATGACAAATCTGCCGCTGCTCTGACCTCTGTATGCACACTCACTGACAGCTTTGCAAAGTGTATTTGAGAAAGAGCAGCTTCTGGAGAACAGATGTTCAAAGGTTCCACAAAAACCTTGGGAAAACCCATGAATAGGATGAATTGCCACAAGACGATCCTTACCAACAGGCTGACGTGGCAGGCAGGCATCACCCAGCCCAGGAGGACAGAGGAAGAGGACAGCGGGTGGGTGAGGGTTTACCTGCCAGGGAAGAGGGGGGGCTGAGTCTGTCGGCAGCATCGTAGAACTCCTCCTCAGAGCTGGTGTCACCAAAGCCCAGGGGTGGCTCCAGAATGAGATCACTCGCTTCTGCCACCTGCTCTGCTCCCCGCGGTACCTCTTCCTGGGCAGACTCGTCTTTCCAAGGACTTCTGTCATGGCTGTGACTGATGCTGCTCCTCTCCGTGCTGCCTGCAGGGGAAATGCTGCAGCACAGGCTGTAATAGTCCATGGAGTTACTCTCAGACAGCTTGGTCCCCAACACTGACACATCAGCGTCTGCTCCTTTCTGCTCAGACGGGCTGTGCTTACACAGATGCTTCTCTGCTTCTGGTACCTGCAAGAAACAGTAGAAGTCTGTGGCTTCTGCTCTGCCAGAGCCTCCTGCAGCACAAATGGGTAAGGAGTTCTTGTCCAAGCTGCTCATCTCGTGCACGGTGGGTGTGTAGAAGTGGAAAAACTCTGGCTTGGAGGAAGAGCAAGTTTCCAATTCATCTTCTTCCAGTGCATCCATTGAGTCACTCGAGCCACTCGTCTTAAACCCTCGGCTCTCTGTGTTGGCTGAATCAGAAGCATCAGATGTGCTGTCTGTTGCGTTGTCACCCCTGTCGCGTTGGTAATTCCCTCCAGCCTGGGGCTCTGTGCTGCCCTTTTCCAGGCTCTGAAGCTCTCCAACCTTCTCCTCAGGTGCAGGATGGGTGCTGCTGTATGCTGCAGGTGTGCCCAAGCAGTGCTCTGAGGACAAATCCATCTCCCAGGAGTCTTCAGAATCGCTGCAGGTTCGAGATTCATACCCTGTGATTAAAACACATCTGTCAGCCTGTGCTGTGTGGTGGCACAGAGGAGCAGTCAGAAAAGGGTTACAAACTTGGCCATACAGCAGTGATTCCGAGCCAAAAGAGCTCTGCCCTCACTTGCTCATCAGCAAACCACCTAAAGATGCAATCTGACCTGCAGGGCCATAACCTGCAGGCGGAGGCCTGGCTCTGCCTGCCTGCCTGCTCCGTCTAGTTTTACTGCAGGGCAGTACAAGGGGAGCTGCAGAAAACTTGCTGTCTGATGACCATCTGCAACCCCTATGGGACCAGAGCTACCGTGACAAGGGATGGGACAGCACCGCAAACAGATTGCCATCTCCTGGCCAGAGCGCATTGGAGGCTGCTCAGGCATTTGGTGAAAGAGCACAAGCGCCCAGAAACACATTTGCCATTTTGCTGACAGGCACTTGGCCTCTCCTTCTAGGGAAGAGCTGTCGGTTGCTGCCGCTCTGCCCCAGCCTAACACATCTGGGTTTAATGGGGAGCTGGCAGTGCTGGCAGAGAGGCTGACACTCAGCTCTCTGCAACGTCACCGAGCATTCCCAGGCTACCATGACGCTGTTCCCAGGAAGGAATGACACTGCTTCCACTGGATGATCGACCCACTTCCTCCCCATTCTTTGGCAAATTAACCTTCTTCGGCTGAGACACGGTGTAGTTGCTGTCTTTTCTCTCCCCAAGTAAATATGGAGACATTGGCATCCACAAACAGCCTGTAATAGCCAACGATGAGGCAGACAAGATCTTTCGCACTGTTTGATTCCAGCAGCAGAGTCAGCAGCTTTTTGAGGGGAAAGAAGGGAGGGAGAGACAGAAAGCAGACACAATCTTAGAACAAACACAGCTTTCACCACCATTTTCTCTCTGATTTCATCACACACTGAAAAGACTTTTTTCTCCCTCATACTGCCACAGCTGCACAGCACTCTGTTTCCATATGAGGAACACAGAAATAAATCATTTTTTGTTGCATTTTGCAACAATGCACAGCAAAAATAATTGCTTCTCTTCAGTCATTTTGTATACTTCCTAAGAACCTTCTCTTCTCGGTCTGTTCTAAGCCTCTTGCACTAATGATACCATCAGCTAAGTGTCAGATTATTAAAAAAAAAAAAAAGACAGTCCCCCCTTTTCCTCTGCCATGTGCTGGCTGATGTGAAAGCAACACCCACCTTCAGGTCCTGCAGGTAGATTTTCACCGTGCTCACTTTCTCTGACTCTTCTGTAAGCTCCACCCTGCTGATGTTTGTGAACTCTGCCAGACTGGTTACGATGCTGAGCTTACTATTGACTATCTGGCTCACCCCGTGCTTGGCACCCACCAGCAAGGCAACGTAGGATTCCCTGTCCTGCAGCTGCAAGGGAAAAGGTCAAGTATTAAGATGGAACCAAAGCAGGAACCCATTTTCCTGCACTGGGCCAGATGTGTAAAAATAGCAGCATTAGTGCAATCGATCAGCAAGGTCCTCTTTTGCTACACACCCAAACAGGGGGTGGTTCACCACTCGTTATGGATCAGTACTGGGACCAGCAAGAAACCAAGAACCCCCCAGCCAGAACAGCTCTGCTAATCTTATATCAACAATCAATTCAGATTATAATTGGGAATTTCTGCTATGGATAAGGTTCGCTGCGATTAAGGCAGAGCCGTGTAACAGTTCAGATGTGAAGGAAAAGGGTTAAAACTGGTGCCCTGCCCTTCAAGTTACTGCCCCTGCACACTGCATGAGTGATGCACAGACAGTATGTCAAACCTCAGCAGCAAGGATTAACAGCACTCGTACCATCAGGGTGGCATTAAAGATCTTCCCACTGTACATCTTCAGGTCTCCCAGTATTTGCAAGTAGTTCAGGCGCACTTGGACTGCTGCAAGCATATGCTTCATTTTGCAAAAGAAGAAATATTGTTTAGAAACATGACAGAAGAATAAAGGTAGAGTGTAAACTAGACAATGCTCTTTTCATACAGGATTCAGTATCTGACCAGTGCATTAGCTTTGCATGTGCTACAGGTCTGAACAGGACACTACTACTTTACCACTATTACCACCTGGCAACTGTACAAGCAGCCCACATCAGAACACACCACACAAGGACATCAGAGCGTGTGCTGCAAAGGAGCTTACGAAAGAAAAAGGAAAAAAGCAATGGTCACACACGAGGAGACCTGAGGAGGAAAGACATGCCCTCTTTGGTACTGAGGAATGCAGTTGGCATCCCAGGAGGCACCTGGAACCAGGCGATGCACGCTACCTTCTGCCGAGGGTCCAGTAGGACCTGGTTCCGCTTCATGTGGTAGCTGATGGCTTTCTTTATGTCCTTTCCTCTCATGTTTCGAAGCAAAGTTGGTGAGATGAAGTTTTCAATTCCCCAGTCCCTCCTGCCAGAAAGATGGAATCACAGAACTCTTGGAGCAGGAAGGCACCATTAGAAGTCATTTAGTCAAACTCCTCTGCAGTGAACAACGTCACCTGCAGCTGGATCGTGTTGCCCAGAGCCTGACTGTCTGCAGGGATGGGACAGCCACCACTTCCCTGGGCAGCCTGTGCCACGGCCTCACCACCCTTAGTGTAAAAACCTTCATCCTTATACCCAATCTAAATCTGCCCTCTTTTAGTGTGAAACCATTTCCCTTTTTCCTACCACAGCTGGCCCTACTAAAGAGTCTGTCCCCTTCTTTCTTACAGCTTCCCTTCAGATACTGACAGGCTGCTATCAGGTCTCCCAGAGCCTTCTTTTCTCCATGCTGCACAGCCCAGCTCTCAGCCCGTGCTGTAGGAGAGCTGTTCCATCCCTGGGATCATTTCTGTGGCCCTCCTCTGGATGCACTCCAGCAGCTCCACGTCTCTCCTGTACTGAGGACTGCACATCTGGATGCAGCACTCTTGGTGAGGTCCCACCAGCATGGGGAAGGGGAGCTGAGGAAGACCCAGCTGTGCTGTCCCTCAGCTACGAGGGGCATGCTGGAGGGCAGCAGCAAGGAAGGACAAAGGCTCAAGGTGCTCGCAGCATTAGGATGCTGAGATGTGTCAGAAAGGATCACTCAACATGACTGCCACACTCAAATTCACTCCTTTGTGGGCTGCTAGCGCACGAGGAGATGGGACTGGAGCACATGCCCTCATGCAGAATGCCCTGCTTTCCACTGCTATACGGACAATCTCAGTCTGCACAGTAGTCCTGGCTGTCTTTGACATGGAGAGGATGAAAATTCTGGTTTTGCACTCACTTCACTTAGGTTACAAGATTACTACATTTCAACACTTGTAGTCCTCAGACCCAAAAATATGGCACATACATTTTGCTCAAGAGTTTATTCAGCTGAGGTGTTAAATACTAGGAGCTGAGAATGCTGCATTTATCCAGACTTGCTTGTTGCACTGCACTGACTACATGTGGCTGGGTATCCCTGGCTGTACACATGGAATTAGCGGTGTTGCATCAGCTGGTGGAGGCTCCGTGGAGCAGTTATGGCACAAATGCCCATTTTTGAATGAGAAGCCATGACAAATTCTTAAAGTAGGGCTGCTTTTCATAGCACGTGCTAACAGCTCCAAAAGGCAGCTCAACGCACCTGAGGCTTGCGAAACATTTTCTCTGTGCTGTTTTTCAGATCCCATTACTTCGCACGAGGACTGGAATTATTTCTGACAAGGTCCTGGTAGGTGAATGGATGTAGGGTACAGCTATGCAAACTCGGTGATTATTCCCTCTCTGAACGACAGCATGCAGATCTTATTGTACTGGCAGAAGCAGCCTTGGTAACACAACTATACAAGAGATTTGCAATTTTCTGCCCCTGTTGCAGCTGCAGGCTAGAAATTCCCTCTGTTAGGGACTGGCCTAGCACGTTACACTGTCCATATTACCCAAGCAGCTCAGCAGGTTAAAGACAGGGAGGCTCATGCAGTTACCTTGCATTAAAACAACTGGCAAAACCAACAGGCTGAGTTCTCTTTGGGTCAGAGATGGACTCCTGCCCAGAACCAAGCACTGGGCAAAAACAGGGCTGCTATTAACTGCCTACATCTGCCAGGCTTGGTCACAAAATAACAGAGAAAATCTGGAACTTACTCAATGTATTTCAGAGAGACTTTCTGTGGCTGAGAACAAGTATAGATCCGTTCCTGTATCTGCAGAGCAGCCAGACGTAATGCCATACTGCATTTCATTTCCACAGCAAACCTTTCCTGCAGCACATCACTGCAGCTCTGAAACAAACAGAGCTGAGTTAGCACGAAGGTTAAGAAGCCAGAATAAGGCCTTTGGTATGACTGCAGTGGACCAAGCAGAGGGAATCAGCCAGCTCATTTCAATCTCTTTCTGTTAAAAATCCAAGCTGATTTAGGAATTTGATACAAGCTCAACCCAAATGCTTATGCTCTATGTCTCGTACTCATGTAACTAAACAGGCTGCAAGTACACTTGAGAGTAAACTGGATAGAAAAATAACGACTATTCCTGAGTTATGGAACGCCTCAATTTCACCTGCAGGTAGAGATATTCAAAGGCCACTGGGTCCTCCTGCAGCAGGTCTAAGGGGTCCTTTGGGACAAAGCAAATTCTGAAGAGGCATCGGCAGTCATGGGAATCTCTTTTCTGGACAACCTGCAAGGGAAAAACATCAGCCACAAAAACTGCTGGAGTCCTCCCATAAGTACAGCGCTCAGCATCCAGCATGAGCTCAAAGAAAGCATTCAAAGCCACTGGCAGGTGGAAGGCTGCGGATTAGCTGCTGTCCTTAGCAAATGCCAGGAGATGTTGACAGTGTCCGTATTTCTATCTTTGATTCTTCTTCTGTTTTTCTCTTCCCCCCCGTGGTAGCCTCAAAGTCATTTGACAGCACAGCTTAATTAGCGTCTATTAATCTCATATGCTTGTAGCACACCCATGACAGAGGCTTCAAGGACATGTAACCACAAAGGAAGGGGCAAATTTCTGCGATTCTGTCCTAAGATACAGCAGCACAAAGCAGACACTTGGATCCCAATCATCACGTTAACAGAGCGTTAAGACCCCTGGACTGCACATTACCATATTTTATTCTGAGCAAACCCAGTGCAGGCTCATCAACAGAACCTACACAGCCTTGCACACACGCTCGAGGGGATGATGTCAGCTTTCTAGCCTCTGCATCACAGCGGATCATCAGCCAACACAGTGTCACGGCTGCGGTCCTGGCTCCCAAGCAGCCACGTTCTCCTAAATTAGGTTAGCCCAGAACTAATAACAGAGCTACCCTTCTGTCTGTAGAACACAAATGTTTGTTAGGAATTTAACCAAACCTGGCATACGGCTGAGTTAAATCTTGTAACTACCAGTCATTTTAAGACAGTCTCTGTCCTCAGTGTCAGCGGGCTCTCTGACAGGTGGTAAAAACCACGTTTGTCTCACAGTTTGCTCTACATGCTCTGAGCTGCATCAGCCCACAAGTACTGCCCTGAGGGCTCTCTACAGGGACAGAGAGGTGCTGCTGAAAGTGCTGCTCCTCAGGGGGCTGGCATTCACACAGAGAGAAGATATCCAAGCCCACTTGTGACACCTGCAGAGCACGGCCCCTCTGCACCTCACCAGCCACAGCTCTCTGGTGCTGGCTGCCCACACGGCTGTGGGGCCGTGCCAGGGGCTCTCCACACCTGCTCGATGAGCTCCTCCTCATGCAGCAGATGGATCTTTGCTGCGTTGTACTGCTCCTCCAGGGTAAGGGCAAAGTGCGCGATGCTCCGGATGGAGAGCTTCTCCTTCAAGGTGAGAACAATGTCCTGGGGAAGGAAAGCACACAGGTGGTCAAACAGAAGTTCAGCACAGTTGCTGTAGATGGCATGAATGCTGTCTGAGTGCAGACAATTCTGGCCAGCCTTGGGAAGCTGCGTGGGGCAGCACTGAGGGAACAGCCAAAGCCAAGCCTTTCTGCGAGCCTGGTGGTTACCAGCCGTGTTATTCCAGCAGGGCAGCCAAGTAATAAAGGACCCTGTCAGCCAGGCAGGATAGCATTCACAGATACCCACATCCACTGCTGCCAGCCAGTGGGCAACAAAGGGAGCCAAAGGAACTGCAGAGAAACGGAGGATGATCGATTTTTTTTGTAGGGCAGAAGGACAAGGGAGAGAAACTGCAGCTTGCTGTGACAACAGTGCTGCAAGATGCAAAGTTGCAAGGTGCGACAAGCATCGCATGCATCTCCTACAGTTGCATGGCCTAGGTGCCTCAGGTCCAAAGCGCTTGCGCCACAGTCTGGAGCACTTTGTCACCTTCAATCCACGTATCTGCTGTGAGATATTCCAGCTTTCTAAAACTCTCCAACACTTTTCAAAGAAAGGGCAAAGACCTGGTGAAAAACCATTTTCCCCACCGCAGCCCAAGAAACAGAGACCACCATCGTTAGTAAAGCTCATAGCAAATGTGATGTGTTGTTTCAGTTGTGCAGAATTCTTCTGCTACACCAAGCATTGTGGAAATGACTGTGTGTATTTTTGGCAGATAGCAAACATTACAGATGGCTTTACTGTGCACAGATTGGGAAAGAACTCCCGTAACTCGCTCACTCCTCTTGGGGTGAGCATAAATATCTCACTCATCTGTTATCTCAAGTAGCACAGCAACTTTGGGAAATGCTTATCTCAGAAAGTATTTCACAAATTTGAATGTTTCTGTGAGGATGGCAATGAGGGTTTCCACTCAGTTCTCGTAGAGAAAAGTTTGTTCCAGGTTAGAGGTAAGCCAAACATGAGGAATTAATCTGTCCTTTACAAGAAAGTTCCTCACAGAGGGGCAATTCGCATCTCTCCTTTCAACTCACCCTTACTTCCTTAGCACCTTCCTTAGCTTGCTTTATTTCATTATTTCTTTTTTTGGGGGGCTGATAAAAGGAATTTCAGAATTGGGTCTTTATTGCATGGCAAATCACAACAGTTCTTGAAGTCTGGATGAAGCAGAAAAGAAACCTTTTCTTTTTCCAGAAACTCTTCATTGCACTACAAATATAAATTCCTTACTTTGCCCTTGTGTATTCTTTCAGTCAGATTCCAGAATGTCTGTTTATTAAATATCTTTTCCTCAGCAGCTGTACCACTGCGCAACATTACGTACCATTTAAACAAATTATGGCCTACCATCAACGTGCACAAGCAAAGCCCATGAACCTCAGTAAAAACAGGCTACAAAAACATAGTTGTAGGCCTTACTGTAAGCATGGGAATTATGGAAACTGTTGTATTAATGGATCTAGCAACCAGCATCTCGTATTTTGAAGAGAATTATTATCAACTTGTCTGCAAGAGTTCCAAGCACAACTACTTTTTCATCTGTAGGAAGTCATCACTTTTCATGTCTGTGCAGGGAAGATGTTTCCACCAATGCAGAAATGAGGCTGGAATATGGACAGGAGCTTTAAATAACAGCGCCCAGTTGCACTGTTCTGAGTTCACACGATACTTAAACCTGGTCTCAGCTCTCCACAGGCAAGTCAGGAGACTTGCTCTCTCTTTCAGGTACGCACATCATCAAAGCTATATTAAACAACTTTCTCCTCTGTATTTAGCCAAGTAATTTCCTAGGAAAGCAAAGTTTGCATGGACAGATGCTGACTGGTCAGTCTTCCAAGCAAGCTGTCCTCCTGCCCAATGCAGTGGTTTAACTGAGCAGATCGCTAATCACCACACAGTTGTTCACTCACTCCCCCCATTTCCAGTGGGACAGGGGACAGAATAAAAGAAAAAAAAAAGTAGAATATGAATGTATGCAGCAAGTGATGCATAAGCAATAGCTCACCACCCCCCAACCAGTGCCCAGCCAGCTCCCCGAGCAGTGGAAGAGCACAAGATGAACTCCTATGTCCTTCAAAACTCCTTCCACATTGTATCACAACCCTTTCGCCAGTTTAAGTCAGCTATCTTGATTCTGCTCCCTCCCACCTTCTTGGGCCACCCTCCACCAGCCATTTGCTGAGAACGGCCTTGACTCTGTACAACACTGCTTAGCAGCAACTATAAATACTGCTGTGTCATCTACATAGCTTTTCTCCTAAAACCAAAACATAGCATCGCACCAGACACTCTGGAGAAAACAATTCTGTCCCAGTTGAAGCTAAGACACCCAACTTTAATCACGCTTACAAAGTTGTAGTGGTCTCACAGCCGAGCTCCTACAAGTTATGTGAAAATCAGTTACTAAGAAGAATGCTGAGAATCAAAGTAATGCTTCCCCTTTAGGAATGGCAAAGAAAATCCACCTTGATCATCAGCAGGCAGCAATCCAAGGGGCACCAGCTGGCCAATGCAACCAAGAGGTTGTACGTTACACTACATGCATCCGTTTCAACTGGATTGAATAGAGGTGGGAGAACAAAGACATCAAGCATCATTACCTTTACAGTAGTGCTGGTCTCAAACCTGAAGGCTTTTGTCTGCCCATTTTCCAAGTATACCTTGAGAACATTTGGCATACAAAGAAGAGAATTCCCCTGTGGAACAAAAGAAACAGCACTAATTAATCCTGGGACATCAGGCCTCTTGGCACCAGGCTGCTCTGCCTGACGCAGCACATCCTGATATAAATCACATAAGAACAGAATGGTTGGCGTTGAAAGAAACGTTTAAAGATCATCTAGCTCCAGTCTCCCTGCAGTAAGCAGTGATGTCTTCCACTAGATCAGCTTGTCCAGAGCTCCTTTCGAACTGGCCTTGAACACTTCCAATTGTGGACGCTGATCCACAGCTTCCCTGGGCAACCTGCTCAGTGTCTCACCACCTTCATAGCAGAAAATTTCTTCTTTATGCTAATCTAAATCTACCTCCTTTTAGCTTAAAACCATTAGGCTCTGGTGCAAAAGTCTCTCTCCATCTTTCTTTTAAAACCCCACTAAGCAGGGAAAGGGTTCTGTCAGGTCTCCCCAGAAACTTTTCTTCTCCATGCTGAACAACCATAACTTTCTCAAACCTTTCTTCTTAGCAGGGCTGATCCAGCCCTCTGATCACTTCTGTGGCCCTCTTGTGGACCTGCACTAAGAAGTCTATATTCTTCTCTCCCTGGGAGCACCAGAGCTTCACTGAATTCTCCAGGCAGGGTCTCACAAGAGCCAAGTAAAGGAGAAACACCTTCCTCAACTTGCTGACCATGCTTCACTTTCTACAGTCCAGGACACCGCAGTCCCTCTGGGCTGCAGTGAACACTGCCACTGCATATGTAATTCTTCACCTATCAACATCCACATGTGCTTCTCCATAGGCTTGCATTCATCACCCAGTCTGTTCTGGTGAATGCCCCAGACCATGGGGGCTGCATTTTGCCTTTGGCCGTTTGGAACTTGATGAGATTTGCATGGGCCGACTCCTCAAGCCTGTCAAATTAAAATAAATCTTGCTCTGCTTTTGCAGCCTTCTTTTATAGCACTAAGCTTTATTCCCTCATTATGCTCCTGGGATAGAGCAAGAGAAAAAGAGCAAAACAAATACCTTTACGATAAAATTCCACCTAGTTCAACAGCTATAGATGGTTCAGATATGTCCTCTGTGGCTTGCAGAAAATACATCTTCCCTTTACCAGCAGCAGGCTGTGCTAAGGCCCCACAGTGACACCTCCCCACTGGCAGCAGCCGTGCCTCCACCCCAAGAGCTACTCAAACCCTACGACAAATACAACTTCCATGGCAGGGGAAGGCTGTAGGATTCAGTTAACACACAGAGGTGCTGAGCATCCCCCTGAGATACATCACTGCGACTTCCCAAAGAGGAGGAGGTGTCACCAGAGATTCTGGAAGTATGTCTTAAATGTGCTGGACAGGACAATGGCTCCCACTGCAAAGGCAGCTCCCTTGGGTGCTTTGGGAAAGACACCATCTTTTTGGAGCTGTCTGGAGCTGTAGCCTTCAGACCTCCACATTTTTCCCTTAGGAGAGGTCATCTGCACCTTTGTTCTTGCTTTCAGCCTTGGCCTTGTTATTCTTTGGCACTGAAAAGGCTTACTCCTTCACCCTTGGACTTGCCAATCAGCAGCACATCTTTCTTATGTTCTTGAGTCAGTACGTTTCTCCAATCTTAGAACAGTTCATCTGCCTGTCACGACAGTCTCAAGGCTGAGAACAGCATTTTTAGGATTATCTCTCCCGTGTTTCATTTGCTTTGCAACATCTTATAAATCTCACATCTTTGGTTGCTCTTGATACTGTCCACGTGCCCCGGCAGCACTACAAGAAAGAACATAAAGACACTTCTGTGATTTGTTCCTCGTTCTTCCTTTCCGTTCTGTGAGGTTCAAGCTTCTGACAGTACTACCACGACAAATGAGTGAAGGCTGCCACTGCTGCTGAGCATGAGCTCTAACTCCTTCATGTAAAAGCACAAACACACCAAAGCTTTGACAGCTTTTGGGCTCTTCATTGTTTTCAGAGAAGTGATGCTCATTTGCACCTAGCACACGTATTTTCTGTTAGCTGCACATGTTGTACAGCCAGCACACAGCAGAACTTTACATCTATACAGAAATTCTCGTATTCAGATGAAGTATCAACACTTTACACTCAGATCCAATCAACTGGCCAGGATATCCAGGTGAGGCTTTTCTCCTTTTGTGCAGGCTCTGACAGACCACTCTGAATTCATTCTGAAAGCTTCTGCTACCACTTAAGCCTGCATCCCAGTCCTGTTTTGTCTGGTATGTGGTTGATTTACTCCAGGTTACAAACAGGCCTACGTCTTCTAGTAAAACACTGGTGCTGACCTCATGATCCTAGGGGACCCTGCTCTTACGTATCATTCAGCTATATGGAAACATGTACTGAGTTCACAGCATAAAGAGGAGGCTGAATAGCACTGAGCCTCATCAACAATTTATGTTCCCAAACCACGGTTTCAGGTTTCAGCTGCAAAAGGCAGCCTTGGGCTCCTTCCAGTTGTCACAGAGATCATTTAGCAATGCTCCATTAAGATCACTTAATGAAACAGGAGTCTCTGCAGATTTTTTCAGGACTGTAATGTCTTTTTTGCTTGCCTTAATACAGCTCTCGTTCAAAAGGAGGGTGGTTCTGACTCACACAAACGGAGCAGCTGTTGTCTATGGTGAATATTGCTTTTCCAGAAAGAGGCAATAAATTTTCTCCTGCTCCCAGGCCCAGGCCAGCAAAGGAGAAAGGGTCCTGACATGCCTGTAGTCAGGACATGCAAGAACCAGAGCATTTGTACTGTGCTTGTCCAATAGCCTCGTGACATCCAGGGCACTCACTGCAGCCTGCCCCTCAGCCCTGATGCAACTGGAGATGAAAGCAAAGAAATGCTTGCCACTCAACGCTCCGCCTGAGTTGGGGCAGGTCAGCTCTCTATGACCAGAGATGGGAGAGCCCAGAGGAAAGAAAAGGGGCTAGAGGCTGTTCATCACCATGCCACGTTAAAAACATGTATGTAGATATAAGTAGATTTGATCCAATTTTATCATCTGAACAGCACCAACCCGTAGGGATAAGGATGAGGCGCATTTCATCCCGATCACTGAGCTTAGTGACACAAATTTAAGAGCTGCTCCTCTTTCAGGATAAGCTGCAAGTATTCTCACTGCATGTCCTTTTGTAGACTCACAGCTACCCAGCTCATTTGTTACCAGCCCCAGAAACCCAGTGATAAATTTGCAGCATCTTTTCAGTGAGCCACAGTCTTCTTTCACATCAGAACAGACTGTCTCAGCTTCTTATAGGTGGTCTATCACAGAAGCAGCCATGAATGCTCTGCAAAGCTCTCTGAGCGGCCAGGAAACAGTGAGCTCTAGCTTGAGCACATATGATGCCAAATGTAACTGCAAAGTGAAGTCACCTGCACCAAATGCTCTGAAGTGAATGGCATCAGGGAACTACTGAAGGCCAGGAGAGGCGATCTAGATTCTTTGGCAGAAAAATAACAGGTGTCTATGGTAGGATTCACCAATTATCTTTAGGGTCAGGATTCGCCAGAAAGTTGGGCAGAAAGTTCACACAGTGCCAAAAAGACAGAAGCAGTACTCACACCAGCTCTTCATCAGCCAAAGTGAGCAGATCTCTATGGAGATGCCAGCACCTCCCCCCATCACCCAGGGGCCCACGAACCCAGCTGGGACCAGATGATGGGATGCATACACAGGGCAGAGCCCTGGGTGCACAATGAGGGTGCAGCCACTCTGTGGCTCCCAGCTGCTCTGACCCAGCCCAGCACTGCCTGTTTCTTCCCAGCACACAATGCACCTGTGCCCCGCTCACCTGTGCGTGTCCGTTCACCAGCACTTCCTCTGCAAAACGCACTTTCACAGGGTTTGTTTTCAGCCTTGCCCTCTTCTCCTCGGTGAGAAACGATGACTTAGGGCCACCCTGAAAAAATAACAGCACTCTGTTGGCAGCTCAGCCTGTTGCAGCTGTGTGAAGAGCCAGTGGCTCGCGGAGGAGGCGGAGGACCAGGGCTGATGCCAGCGCTGCTCACATCACGTTACTTCACACCTGCAGGAGCAGGTGATGGTAGGAGTCAATAATCTTCCCAGGCAATCCAGGCTCGCTGCAGGACTCTCAGCTATCAGGACAGTGACTGCCTTCAGAGCCCAAACACAGCTGTCCAACAAGTCACAGAATCATAGAATCCTAGAACGGTGTGGGTTCAAAAGGACCACAGTGATCATGTAGTTTCAACTCCCCTGCTGTGTGCAGAGTCACCAACCAGCAGCCCAGGCTGCCCAGAGCCACATCCAGCCTGGCCTTGAATGCCTCCAGGGATGGGGCATCCACAGCCTCCTTGGGCAACCTGTGCCAGTGCCTCACCACCCTCTGGGGGAAAAACTTCCTCCTAATATCTAACCTAAACCTCCCTTGTCTCAGTTTAAAGCCATTCCCCCTTGTCCTGTCACCATCCACCCTCACAAACAGCTGTTCCCCATCCTATCTATATGCTCTCCTCAAGTACTGGAAGGCCACAGGGAGGTCTCCCCGGAGCTTCTCTTTTCCAAACTAAACAAGCCCAGCTCTTCATAGGAGAGGTGCTGCAGCTCTCTGATCATCTGATCATCTTGTTTTGCAACTCAGCTTTTACACACACTGAAGTCTATGCTGGCACACACACTGTGCAAGCAGTAGATCTCTGCTGATGATGCTTATACAATAGGAACAGGCAACCAGCACCAAAGCTTTGTACTGAAATTAGGCTTTTCTTCCCAAAGCAGGACCAACACCAGGGTCCCAGATCTGAAGAGAGCAAGGAAGGACAACCCAGCTAGCACAGACAGGATTGTTTGCTCACGAGAGATCTGGAGGAGTAAAAATGAAGGGAGGAAGTTACAGGCCATTGCCTTGCTCACCACGATCCCAGACTTGCTGAACTAAACAAGGGGAAATCCTCAGGCTGTAATGAGTATCCAGGTAGAGCCCAGAGAGGAAAAAAAAAAAAGAGATAACTGTTTTTCTACACACAGAAAGCATTTGAGGTTTGAGAGAACATCAAGAGCTTTCAAGGAACAACTTGGGTGGGTGGGGGTGGCTGGTCCACATTGGCCTTAATGCATCCTGGGATGCAGGTAGTTCCTGGCCTCTCCATGCCCTGGATAACGCTGGCAAGAGGGGAGCATCCCGTGTGCCAGCCCGGCTGCCCAGGCCAGGGAGCAGAGCTGCTGATAGTGCTGAAGAGAAGGCACTTACCGATGTGCAGCGCAGGACAGTGAGGAGGAGCTCATCACCGGCATCCCTGTAACACACAGGGATGCAGTCAGCCAGGGTCAGCACCTGCACATGCCTTTGTAACCCCTGGAAAAAGCGGGTTCCTATACCTCCCCTCCTGCACTCCTCCCCTTGTCTGCACAGCACGGGCAGGACCGTACCTGATGATGTCAGACACCCGTTCAATGGACATGTCCTCCACCATGGTAGAGTTTATCCGGATCAGCTGGTCACCTGGCAGCAGCTTCCCATCTGCGGTGCTCCCTGTGGGCAACCAGCCTGCTGTCAATCACACACAGTGGACCTTCCACCAAGTTCTCTTCTTCCCACCTAGCACCCAACTGCTGCAACAACTCCTTCTGGATGGTAAAATAAAAAGGGAAGGCGTCTGGGGCTCTGTTGCCAGCCGATGCATGCAGCTCACGTCCATGCCACCTTGTCTCCGGCCCCAGATGCTGCCACTGAGCCACCAAGCAGTGCTCTCGTGGTGCATGCATGTGCCTGGGGAGCAGTAGGAATGCTCACAAAGGTTGGATTGCTGCAGAATGACTGAAAGGGATTCCCACACCGCCTGCTGCACCACTGGTTGAGACGAGCTGCACAACTGGCATGGTGAAACCCTTCTGCCACCAGGAGAGCACAGCGATGGCCTTCTCAACTACACTGGTTGCTGAGAGGACTCCCAAAGTGCAGCAGACACCTGACCAAAAGGGTTAACAGCAGGTGGACTTCTGGTCTGAGGAAGAGGAGTATGCCAGCAGCACCTGTCACCACCAGCCTGCGGGTCAATACACAGTGCTTAATTTCTTTATGAGACAGGTTTGCACATACAGCAAACTAGCACCCACCACCTGTCTGTTTGGGCACTCTGGCATCAGGGTGCACACGTGGCACACAGAGGCAAATGTTTGGAATCATACACAGGGCTTTTAGACATAAGGCTTACAAGGATGCATTTCTTTGTGCCTCAGCATTAACAAAACACTGGTGCTTTCTGATGAGGGAAAAAAGAAAAATCTAACAGAAATTCTCCTGCTCCACTTCTTACCCCCAAAGACTCCCAGCTAATTTAGCCATGGGATGCTGACAGGAGGAAGTCACAGAATTGACACAGCCTGCCTGAGGCTGAACCCACCTACCCTCTCCACACCACTGACTCTGCCCAGCTTGGGTACATCCTTTCTCTGTCACACTGATGCCAACAGTTTGTACCCATTTAAGAAAATAATAAAAAATAGAGTTATAGTTTTTGATACTAAACTGCCAAAACAGCTTAAAAACAGAGTCAAGCCCCAGTGTTCTATAACTGGAAGAGTTGATCTGCTTGACCTAGGCAGAACTTGGGATACAGGACTGCCTGTACTAGCAGTGATCCTCTCCTTGTTGCAGCTTTTTAAGTGCAGACAGAGTTGTCAGCAAGGTGACCTCAGTGTAAGAACCGTAAGAACTCTAAGCACTGTAAGATTAGATAGAACTATTTCTTGGCATTTCAGATTCAACAGCAGAAAGAACTTGGCTTTCAAGCATCTCATGCCCTTCAAGGTCAGATGAGTCTGAGTGCAGACAATACACTAATGGTGAAGCTGAAGGCTCCATGGTGAAGGCATGCAGCTTTTTCCCCTCGGTGCTCGAGGCTCACATGCTAACCAGAGGTACCTGGTAGGAGGGTGTCCGAAGGGCCACCTGGGACAGCTTGGGTCTCAAACCCGTGGCTGTAAGGAGAGGACAGTGGTGCTCACCTGCAGTGACAGATGCGATTGTAAGAGGAAGGTCTGGGCAAATCTCGAAGCCGTAGTGATGGAGGACCAAGTCTTTGTACACTGTGACGGTGAGTTTGACACGGCTGGCAGTCTGGCCACCGCCATCGTTGGTGACATCTGTCACAGACACTCTGCCACTGTGAGACAAGAAGCTGTGATTAATTAAGATATAATCAGAAAACACCCTATCAAAAAGGCTCAGACCACACAGACCCCTTGCTTTCAATGGGATACACAAATGCGCAAAGAGGTCAGAACTTGTTCAAGTACCTACGGGTGAACACTTTGCTTTTTTTCTAGGGAAAAATGGGAGACATCTGCAAGCAGCGGCTTTCCATGTTCACTGGAAACAAGCCTGTGCTGTCTCTGATCAAAACCAATCAACAGATATCCCACTCACAAAAGACATGTTTACCTGGATGCACCATCCCGAGAGCGATGAAGCCATTTTGCTACCATCTGCTCTATCCTACATGCTTTGCGTGTATGGATTAAGTTAGTCTCCAAATCTTCCATTTATCTGAAAGTGACAGAAACCACAGGAAAACAGAATGACAAAAGATTGAGTACGTCTTCTAGACACCGTTTGGAATTACCAACTCACAGCTCCTGTGTAACAAAGAGATCAACCAGAACCTTGGGAAAACCACAGAGATGTTAACACCTTTCACATTTACGATGATTCTTCCTGCCCATCTAACCTCCCCTACCTGGTGCTTTAGTTTAGTCCACAGTGGTGGTTAAACTGCATTAACTGCTCACCAGAGAGAACGACCTATCAATCTCTGCAGTCCATTCTCTTGTTTCTGGATGCTGTGGTTCAGCTCTCTCAAGAAGGAAAAACTGAGGTTTGCTATGACCACATCTGGGATCTACAAATTGCAAGGCTGCCAAGGACTACATCAGGCAGCTTTAGAAGATCTCCAAGGAGAAAGACACCACAACCTCTCTGGAAAACGAGAGCACTGCCCAGTCACCTGCACAGCACAGAAGGGTTTCCTGACATACAGGGGGAACTTGTGAGCAGTATGTTCCAAGTCCGTCTTGCGCTGCCATAGGATACAAAAAAGAGCTTGGCTCCATCCTCTGCACCCTCCCACCAGGTGTGTATAGGGAGGGTATATCCCTCCAAGCCTTCTGTTCTACAGGCTGAACAGTCCCGCTCCCTAACCCGTCCTCGTAGGAGAGATGGTCCTGTTCCTTTGCAGGAGTCTCTCCAATAGCTCTTGCCCAGGGGAGCACAGAATTAGACATGGTGCTCCAGGTGAGGCCTCAGTGGCGCAGAGTGCAGGGGAAAGATCACTTTCCATCATCTGCAGGCAATACTTGGCCTAATATAGCCAAGGAAACCAGTAGCCAGCCTGAGGACAAGGGCATCTTGCTGGCTCGTGTTCAACTTGGTGTGCTCCAGGACCCCAGGTCTTTTTCTGTTGACCTGCTTTCCAGTTGAGTGGTCTCAGCATGTTCTGGTGCCTGGGGCTGTTCCTCCCCTCGTGGACCTTCAGAAGGCTCGAAAGCCCATTTCTCCAGCCTGCCAAGTGCTGAATGGCAGCACAGTCCTTTAGCGTGCCAGCCACTCCTCCCAGTTTTGTGCCATCTGTGAACACTGCCCCATCATCCAGACTATTAATGATGGTACTGAACAGGTTTGGGCTCAGTACTAACCCCAGATGTTCACCACTAATTACTGGAAATCACTCCAGCCAGAACTTGCACAACTGATTGGTGCCCTCTGGGCACAGCCATTCTGCCAGCCCCTGATCCACCCATCAGCAGCTTCTCTATGAGGAGCAGCCCACCAAGTCTGGGCAGACTACACCCACTGCTCTTCCCTCACCCATCAGGCTGCCCATTTCATCACAGCAGCTTTCCAAGCTGTCAAATGCTCTGTGTGAATCATGCTGGCTCCTGATGATTCTCTCGTCCTTCAGATGCCTGGAAGTGGCTTTCAGGATTAGCTGTACCATTGCCTTCCCGGGATGGAAGTGGGGCTGAGCACTCTGTAGTTTCCCAGCTATTCCTTCTTGCCTCTCCAGAAGATAAAAGTGATCTTGTCTTTCCTCCAGTCTTCAGAGACTTCTAGTGGAAGAACAGAGGGCTGGAGAATCTCTCCTACAAAGACAGGCTGAAAGAGCTGGAGGTGTTCAGCAGAGAGAAGATCCTGGAGAGACCTCACTGCAGTCTCTCAGTATTTAAAGGGGTGTCAACAAGAAAGATGAGGAGGGTCCTTTCTGCAGCCGATGTAGCAATAGGACAAGGGAGAGCAGCTTTAAAGTAAAAGAGGGAAAACTCAACTGATCACTCTATCATTGCCCCGGTAAAACAGCTCATTTCTAACTTCAACACCGTGCCTTTCAAGTTACAGAAAACCTGCAGCCACACACCAATCTGAGGATTTGTTCCAATTCTGGAAAATACTGTGGGCTGCAGGAGAGCCAAACACAAAATGATCTGCAAATGTTTGCACCTACGAAGCGTCATGAAGATCATCAACCCTTTGTATGTCAAATATTGACCAAGTCAGAATTATTATATCCACCTTTTACACTGTCTTCTGCTCAGACTGCAAGATTTGTGCGTCCCCAGCTTTTCTTTCCCTTATGTCTTCTATTCAGACAACAAGCCCAGCACGTCAGGGACATTTTCTTTTATGCTGGGACAGCGCAGAGGACAGTGGTTGATGATCCATTACAGCAAAAATATTACCAAGTTCATACCAGAACAATAAACTAGATGGTCGGAAGCTGTCAGATGAAGTATGATGCATTGTGTCTGAACACAATCTGAACTTCCCCTGCTCCTTAGCACTTTCTCCACTCCTCTGAATTCATCAACATCTCCTTTCCTCCCTGGAAGCCATTCTGGCTCGTCTCACGACTCACCCACACAACAATGAACAGAAATGGGGGTCACGAGATTCAGCCACTCTGCTCCTTCTTGAGCTTTCTCTTGGCTGCTTTTCGTGAGGCAGCACAATAAAAAACCGTGCCCTGTTCACACTGCTCCTACACCCAGCAGCATCTCTGAGCTGAAAATCAGTATCTTTGCAACCAAATAGTGCTCTCAGAAGGAAAAGTACCTTTTCCGGATGGATAACTGGGAAATAATCATAAGATAACAGTTCCGCAGCCAGGAAGACATATACACATATATATGACATATCAAACCAAGGCTTGAGCAGTCATCGCCTATGCTCCGCATGCCTTCTTCAGCCTCAGTACTTCACCTTTTCTGTCTGTTAGCTCCCCGGACACCACAACACGCACCTAACAGTGTGGCTGACACGCTCTTTGAATCTCTCTTGAGATTCAATCTTCATCCCAACGTACTTTTGAGTTCTTTAGAATTCCCCTTAGAGCTACGGAGAAAGTCCTGCTCGCAGCCACTCCTCTGCCCCAAGAAGCTCTCCCTCTGCTCAGATGCCGAGATGCCTGCAGCTTCATCTACAGATGCATCAAGACCAGTTACACACTGATGCTTTGTTACCTCTACATGCAGGTCCATCCTCTATTGCTGACTCTCATTTTCCTTCTTTGCAGAAAAGACAGGCTATCCCCTCTATACTTGTGCTGTGCTTCACAACATGGAATTTATGGAAAAAGCCTCTGAGCCTACTCAGTGAGGGCAAAAAGCTTCAGGAACAAACAGAAATGCTTGAATCCCCTAAAAAGAATGTTAAAAGATGAAAAACAAACAAACAAACAAACACAACCAACAACAAAAGCAAACAAAAACGCCAGCTCTGATCCGCATCTTCCTCCCACTTGCACCTGTTATCTTGGAAATGTTTTGGGGCCAAGCCACTGAGCACACGATTAAGCAGCTTGAGCGGACTAGGATCTACACACCTCAGACCCTTAAGCTCTGCTATAGGAAGAACAGACTTGCTGTGTATTTGCTCAACCACCGGCTCACGCAGACAACTCACGCTTGGTGCCTCAGAGGAAACCTGGATGGTTTGGGCTCTCTGGGAACAACGCTGACTTGGAGACCAGGCTAATCTCTGCGTGTCTACTTATAGGGAGTAGGGAGCATGTCTACTTATGACACAGAGAACAGATGTTGCAGGAACAGCCAGTCTTCACCAGCATCATAAATTATGCATCTGTGCCACAGCAGCAGAAGTGTCCCTCCCACACCACATACCCAGCTGAGGATAGGCTTCCTTCCCCACAGCCTCCCTTGGCTACCACAGCATCAAAGAAGGGCCATGCATTCTCCTTCTGCTTCAAAAAAAGCAGCCTTGCTCTGATCACACAGGGCTGGGACTTTGTTCACCCCAGCAGTTCACGTTCTCACTGCCCATGCAACAAACTTCAGGACACACCATGGTGCTGCTGGTAAGCAGCCCTGCAAGGTTTGATGAAGTGTAGCTGTGTGGGATGGCAGCCTTTGCTCTTCTACTGCGTTACAGTACACACTGGCACCTTGCAACGGCATACATTGCAAAGGCAGTACCAAGCCAAAACACCATCAGAGCAACCAGCAGACCGAACAGGGCTCACCTAGGGTAAGCGATCCCCCATCCTCTTCATAACACTTAGCACAATGCCTTTCCTTACGTAGCCTCTCAGTTTTGTCCCCACTGTCACACAGGCCACCAGAGAGCATCTAGAACAGACTGCCTGTGGGGAGGCAGGCAGGAGACCATGGGCAGGTCTGACTTCGGGTGGTGGAACTGCACTGAGCTCCAATAGCTGGGATGCAGTGGGAAGGACAACCTGTCTCCACTTCTCCCACAGGCGTCATCAGATGTGTACCATCAGATCAGACTAGCTGAGCAAAATCATTTTCTTCTGCTTTCAGGGGCTCCCTTGCACATGAACCTCTCCACAAAGCTTGCAAAACCTCTTGTGGTCACTAGTGATTTCCCGGGCTCTGCAGAGCAGGAGAGGACATCCTGCTACAACGTGCAGTAGTGCACAGAAGGCCCATCTGCAACACTTCAACTTGACATCAGCAGTACCGACTCATCACAGATCGACCACCCCGCACGGATGTTCCTGGAGTGCCCCCTCCAGAGTGGCACTGATGCAGTTTCAGTACCACTGAAGTTTCAGAACTGATTTGCATTTTTGAACCTTCACAGAGGCAATAAGAGCACCCCTGATAAACGATCCTAGATACATGCATGTGAGGCAAATGAAGAAGAATCCTTTTTTTTTTTTTTTTTTGCTTTACGTTTACTGGAATTTGGGGCTAAATTTACCATGAATTTGTTCTGACTATTGGGAACGAGCAGCAGTGACACACACTGCTTTGAGAACACGTGTATTTATGGCAGACGCAGTGAGACCACTCCGCTTCTTCTTTGTAGCAGACACTTTAGTACCCACAGAGCAAACGATTGGAATTTGCCTTACCACTCCAGCTGCCAGCTCTGCTGATGTTGCCAATGCAGAATGAAGTCAGACTTGGCAGGTGGGACCCAATTATTCCAACTCGCTTTCTGAGGGCTGAAGGAGCAAGCCCAGCTACGCAAGGATTAATGCGGCATTCCTACTTCCTATGTGAAT